ACCGAACTGGTTCTCTTTGTTCGGGAGCTGGCCCCCCCGGGTTATTCTTACCTTTTATTTGGCCCCACCCCCAATCTATTCGCTGCCTCCCGAGTCCCAGCTGATTGGCTAGAAGGAAAAAAACTGTTTAAACTCTTGCTGTGGGACTTCAAAGGGCCGCCTTACAGCTGATCAGTGTTAAAAGGCAGTGTGGTGATAGACCAGTGTGCTCGGAAAACAAATGGGTAGACCTGAACGCTCCAAGAACAAATGAGTAGACCGGTACAGCTCTGCAAGCAGTTAAAAGCCTGATAGACCAGTACCTCTGCTAAATCCTAAAGAATCGTCACATGACCATCAAACCACGCCCACAAAATAAGCCACGCTCACAGAACCGGTAGTAAAAAAATTTAGAACCCACCCCTGGTGTGTTCCCTGCGCATGTGCCCCGGCCCCCGTTTTGGCTTCTAGGTTGATGTAGGAGGCTTTTCAGGCCCAAAAAGCGCGGGGGGTGTGTGTTGCGATTTTCGCAGTTTCTCTCCTCCCATCACGTGCCCAGGCTTTCCCCTCCATTCCTGCCTTCCCCAATCTCCTCAGTTTCTCACCGCGCACCCAGACTTTCTCCTCCATTCCGGCCACGGAAAAACACCTGCAGAGGGTAGAACCTGCAGAGATTGGGGAAGGCACAGGTGGCAGGAATGCAGGAGAAAGGTAGGGTGCGCTGGGGGGGAAACTGCAGAGATTGGGGAAGGCCCCACCCCATGCATGCGTGGCAGAGACGCGAAGAGCAGCTGGCTGGCAGGAGGTGTACTCATATGCACAGTGGAACTGGGCTGGGGTGATGGCTGGCGTGCCCGCTGAGAGAACTCTGTGTGCCACCTGTGCCATAGGTTCGCCATCACGGCCCTAGAATATCATGCCACAAATGGCACACATAGCCATATTGGTGGGCACGCAAGCTCAGCTCTATCAGCTGATTTTCGGGTCTTCTGGGCCCACTAGAAGTAGGCAAACAGGCTGTTTCCTGCCTCTGGAGGGCCTCAGGGGTGTGGTGGGGAAGGCCCGTTTTTCTCTCTCCCCAGGCTCCAGAGCCTTTCTAGGATTCTGGGGAGGGCCCTTCCGAGACTCCTAGAAAGGCTCTGGAGCCTGGGGAGAGAGAAAAACGGGCCTACCGGGACATCGCATGCCAGGAGCGCAGGAAGCGGGGGTGATCACATGCGCAGGGGCAGGGCGCATAAAATTATGGCCTTAGGCATGTGCGTGTGCGAACCCCTCCTCCCCGCTCCTGGCACACGATGGCCTAGGCAGCGTACGTGCTACATTTCTACCAAATCTGGTATTTAGTTGTGTTCTTCAGCTTTTGGGGAATCTTGACTGGATTATTTTAATTTTGAAACATTTACTTGCGACCGTAGTTTTTAGCAAAATTCATATAAAGTTGCAGCACATGGGTGTGATTTAAAAGAGGAATAAAGTGATTAATTCTTACGGACAACCTCCAAGAGATTCTCAAAAACCAGAATGCTTTCTGATTTATAATGGTCAGAATCTTACATACTGAGCAATTTTAATTCTTTGTTTGTTTGTTTTTTCCAATTGGCATCTGAGCAATTTTAAGGGGGTCTTTGATCCACAGCTGAAGGGAAGGGGAGAGGGGAAAGAGTACATGTGGGTCTAGGAGCTTTTGGATGCGGACTTATGAATAAATAAATAAATGTGGAACAAAGAACTTGTTTGCAGCAAAGGCTTAATTGTTATGAAGCTCCAAATTAGTCATTGGGCACTCCATCACTGGAGGATTTTAAGAAGAGACTAGACAGTCACTTAGCTGAAATGGTATAGGTTCTCCTGCTTGAACGGGGCTGGACTAGAAGACCTCCAAGGGCCCTTCCAGCTCCTGTTCTGTTCTGCTCTGCTCTGTTCTGGGTTCTCTTCTCTTCTCTTCTCTTCTCTTCTCTTCTCTTCTCTTCTCTTCTCTTCTCTTCTCTTCTCTTCTCTTCTCTTCTCTTCTCTCCTCTCCTCTCCTCTCCTCTCCTCTCCTCTCCTCTCCTCCCTTCCCTTCCCTTCCCTTCCCTCCCCTTTCCCCTCCCTTCCATTATTCTATTCTAATCCATTCTTCTGTTCTGTTCTGTTCTGTTCTGTTCTATTCTATTCTATTCTATTCTATTCTATTCTATTCTATTCTATTCTATTCTATTCTATTCTATTCTATTCTATTATATTTCATATTCTATTCCATTACTCTACTCTACTCTACTCTAACCCATCCATTCCCTCCCTCTGCTTCCGCCCACGTCAAGTTGTTAACTCTCCGGGATGCTTGTCTCTCCCACTCATAAACTTTGGCTTCCTCCTGTCCTGTCCCACTGTGCCAATTCTCTTGACACCCTCACAAGAATCCGGGCACGCACTCCAGCAAACTGTAGCGCCTTGTTTGGGGCTGAATTATTAATATCGAGTGATTTGCATAGTCACCGTTGCAACAAAAGTCAGTCCCCACTTCCATGCTGGATGTGCTGGCAGACTGAACCAGGCAGTGACCTTGCTCTGGGCACGGGACCAACAGTAGAAAGACAGCTTTGTTTGCCCAGTGCCCAGCAGTGTCAGAAACCGAGAATAGCCGAGATGCCCTGCTCCAGTAAGTCCAGAGAGAAGCAAAGCTTTGCAAAGAATATACGGTGCATCCTGGCTATTCGTCCTGCAGCTCACACCAACCCTTATCTGGGACATCTTCGTTCGCCCTCTGCCCTCTGAGGTGAGATGGGTGGTGACTAGGGGTGGGTTCTACTTACCTTTACTACCGGTTCGCATCGTGCCTGCTCGTGCGTGCACGCGCGCTCTTCTGCACATGTGCAGATCTAATCTGATGACGTCCGGGTTAGTAGGCGGAGCCTCCCGCCAGTTTTACTACCGGTTCTCGCGAACCGGTCCGAACCGGGGGCAACCCACGAACTGGTGGTGACAAGGAAAGGACCTTATGGGGACTGGTGTGATTCCATCTTCATGCATGCCGCATGTATTTGTTTTGAAGCAGGGGTGTCAAACTCTATTTCATTGAGGGCTGCATCAGGGTTGTGTTTGACCTCCTGGGGGGGAAAAGAGGGGCGTAGCCAGAATGGGTTTGTCCAGTTCAATGTCAGTTGTATCAGGGGTACCTATGGTGGCCCGAGCACTCTGCCAGCGAAAATCGGCTCCCGAGCTCTCTTTTCAGCTTCCAGGGCCTCCTGCAACCTTCTGCCAGTGAAAACAGAGCTCGGGAGCCCGTTTTCGCTGGCAGAAGCAGCACGAGCCAGTCCTTCGCTATTTCCACGGCGGCCCCGCGGACCAGATCTAAGTACCCCATGGCCTGGATCTGGGCCCCGTGCCTTGAGTTTGACACCCCTGTTTTGAAGCTAAGCATGGTGTATGGATTTAACCCAATTTTTCTCTCTCTTTGGATAGCAAGCTGAGCTGTAAGCCAATAGCTGGCCCTGCTCCCCGAATGCATTAAGCTAAATGAGGTTGGCTAATTTGTGTTTCATTATGTCATTCCCCCGCTAAAAGCACAGTTCGGTGAAGATTTTGACAAGGGTGACTAACGCATAGGTTCCTTTAAGTGCTAAGAGTAATGATTCATTATTGTGATGTGCCGGAAAGTTGGCTAGCAACTGACGAGTAATTACACGAAACAGAGGAAGCGAGAGGCTGCCCAGCTTTTGTGCTCCGAAGACTGTCCTTGACTGTCCAAAAACAAAACAGATCAGGGATAGGATTCTTGGTTTCCTTTGATACTCTTGAGGACTAGGAGTGATATCATAGCAGCCTTCTAGGACTTGAGGGGCTGTCACAGAGAAGGGGGAGTCGACTTATTCTCCGAAGCACCAAAGCAGGACAAGAAATAACCTAAAGAGAGATCCAACCTAAAAGTAAGAAGAAATTTCCTGACAATGAGAACAATTAATCAATGGAACAGAAGTTGCCTCCAGAAGTTCTGGGTGCTTCCATCACTGGACGTTTTCAAGAAGAGACTGCATTTGTCCTGCATAGTATAGGATCTCCTGCTTGAGGATATTGGAAGACCTTCAAGGTCCCTTCCAACCAAGAGTGAAATCCTCCCAGTTTGCACCGCATCGGGCGATCCAGTAGCGATCTTGGCGGCTGGTTCGGCGATCCGGTAGCGATGGTGGAGCAAAGCTCCGCCCACCCGCCTGGGTGTTGTTACTTCCTGGTTTTAACCGGTAAGGAAGATAAGTAGATTTCACCCCTGCTTCCAACTCTTATCAGTCTATGTACTATATTCTATATTTGCTGAGCGAACATCCTCACATGCTACGGTTTTCTGTCATTTCTCTAAGTCAATTGGCCTGGCCTAAATCTTCTCCCCTTTTTAAATGTAAATTTTAATTTGTTTTAAATTATGGGGTATTTTAAATTCAGCCAAATTATTTAATTCGTTTTTAATTTATTTTAAATTTTTGTATTTATGTGTTTTATCTTGTGGCTGTTCACCGCCCTGAGTCCTTCGGGAGAAGGGCGGTATAGAAATTTAATAAAATAAAATAAAGAAATAAATTCCATGTCCAAAATTTTTGCCCCAAGCAATCATTGTTTCTTTAACTTGTTCGTCTTCCAGTTTAACCTCTAATAAATATCCATACAGTTTTTAATTATGTTTTCATCAGTACCTGTTAAAATTTTATCTAAACTAGTCAAATTATTATAAAAAAACCTTCTGTTTTACAATCTTTATCGTGTCTAGACTGTATTTGCAAATAAGAAAACCAGTTCATCTTTATACCTTGTACTTCTAATTCTTGCATAGATTTAAGTTCACCCTTTTCATTCAATATTTCACTATATCTGACAATTTGTTCCTTTCTAAATGTTGTTGAATATGAGAATACTCCATGCTACGGTTTTCGGATGGGAAGTCCTTAATTGTTAGGGAAGAGGATGTTTTGAATCAGGAGTGCAGAGAGTATGACCTCCTGATGCAGTTCGAAGCCCTTTTCGTACAACAGGTTTGTTCTCTGTTTACTCAGGAGTAAACAACCTTCAGCTGATCCTCCTGTTCAAGGTGAAAGTGTTTGCATCGGACAAGTTTTGATGGTGGTTGACAACTCCGGATCCGGAATGCTTCGTCCCCCGCCAAATGTGAGTGTCTATGCTTCAAATTGCCATGGCATTATTATTAGTGTTGATTTTTTTTTTTATTATTATTATTATTATTATTATTATTATTATTATTATTATTATTATTATTATTATTATTATTATTATTTGATTTATATGCCGCCCTTCTCCGGAGATCCAGGGCGGCTTACAATGCGTTAAGCATTAGCCTTCATACTTTTGTATATTTATACAAAGTCAGCTTATTGACCCCACAAACTGGGTCCTCAATTTACCCACCTTAGAAAGGATGGAAGGTTGAGTCAACCTTGAGCCTGGGGAGATTCGAACTTGCAGTAATTGCAGGCAGCTGGATGTTAAATGCTGCCTTAGCAGGAGGCATTAGCCTCCTACGCCACTCAGGCTCCTCATTTTGCGTAACGCGTAGCGATTCTTTAAAATAACAGGAAATATTTTCTGAGCTGATGTCAGGGATGTTGGATTGAGATCCCAGAGGAGCCATTGAGGCTTCTGATAAATAAAGGCATAATCCAGCATTGGCCCTTCTAGACAGCAGGCATGTCCAGAGTCAAAAGTAGGCATTCCTGTTCTCAGCTTCCCATGGAAGGAATGATGATGTGTTTGGGATGATTCGGTCTCCAAAACAAAGGCGTGGGCACGTACGGCTTGCTCGTGATGTCCAGGAAGAGCCTATGAAATAGGAACTAATGATCAACAAACAACAATTTCTCTGCTTGCAGGAAATCCCCGTTAGAATCTGGGGCATTCCCAGCCAAAAGGTCAGGAGCAGAGGGTGGGAAAGTCCTTCTAGTTGTAACCAGGAGATTTAGAATGACAGCAGAGACAATAAAGGTAAAGGTTCCCTTCGCACATATGTGCTAGTCATTCCCGACTCTAGGGGGCGGTGCTCATCTCCGTTTCAAAGCCGAAGAGCCAGCGCTGTCCGAAGACGTCTCCGTGATCATGTGACCGGCATGACTCAACGCCGAAGGAGCACGGAACGCTGTTACCTTCCCACCAAAGGTGGTCCCTATTTTTTCTACTTGCATTTTACATGCTTCCGAACTGCTAGGTTGGCAGAAGCTGGGACAAGTCACGGGAGCTCACCCCATTACGTGGTACTAGGGATTCGAACCGCTGAACTGCAGACCTTCTGATCGACAAGCTCAGCGTCTTAGTCACGGAGACAATACTGGGATACAAAACAAAACACCACCTCGACATCAACAGTTTCCAATTTTCCAGATTGAAAGTCTTGAACCTCTTTCTTTTTTTCCCCCCACCCCACTCCCTTCAGGGTTTGCCACCTGCTGAGCAGCATTTTCATGATGGCGGAGAACATCCTTCACCTGCCTCGAGAGGCTCCAGTTTCACATCTCCTCCACATCACTCGAGAGCCGGGGTCTCTGTGGAAACTCTGGGTCTTAGGCTGGATGACTTTATCCCCTCACACCTCCAGAAGAGCCCAACTATCCGTAGTGGGAGCCTCACCTCTCCGCGGGCCACGTCCACCCCGCAGAGTAAATGGAACCCCAAGTATTACAGAGTGAGTCTGTCTTCCTTGAGCCAAGCCGATGGGAAGATTGGGGGCTCATGAGTTACTTGTAGAGATTCATGGATGGGCTGCTGGGAGTTCGCAGGGGAGAACCTCTAGCTAAGATTCTGTGCAGTTCGGAGAACCGCCAAATCCTACTCCTGGCTGGCCCTGCCCACCCACCCCGCCCCACCCAGGAGTCCCCACATGGCCCGTTTTGGGTGCAGGTAAGTGCAGGGTGTGCACAGAGGTTCAGGGAGGGCAAAAAACGGGCCTACCAGAACAGGGGTGGGTTCTAAATTTTTTCACTACCGGTTCTGTGGGCGTGGCTTATTTTGTGGGTGTGGCTTGGAGGTCATGTGACTAGGTGGGCGTGGCTAGCTGGCCAGAGTCATTTCTGGAAGGTCCTCGCATTTACAACCAGTCCTCGCACTTACGACCCGACTCATTTGTTTGCTTTTAACACTGATCAGCTGTAGGATGGCCCTTTGAAGCCCTGCGGCAAGAGTTTTAAACAGTTTTTTTCCCTCTAATCATCAGCTGGGGCTCAGGAGGCAGCAATAGATTGGGGGTGGGACCAAATAAAAGGTAAGAATAATGTGGGGGGGGAGGGCGGGGGGGAGAGAACCGGTTCGGTGACGTCATATCGTCACCGCTACCGGCTCGGCCGAACTGGACCGAACCGGGAGGAACCCACCACTGTACCAGAAGTTCGGGAAGGCGGGAAATGGGCCTGTTTCCAGCCTCCAGAGGTCTGCCGAAGCCTGGGGAGGCTGTTTTCACCCTCCTGGAGGCTCGAGGAAAGCCTCCAGAGCCCAGGGAGCAGTGGTGAAATCTGAACCAGTTTACTACCGGTTCTTCAGCTGCGGGCGTGCATGCGCAGTACCCGACCCGCACCAAATGCGAGGTGTGTTATGTGCGCGTGCAGTGCACGCCAAAGGGAGGCATGGGGTAAGTAGAACAGCGCACGGGTGTGTGTGATCAGCTGTGGCGCGCGATCTTCGGAGCCTTTTTTTTTTTACTTTTAATTTGGGCGAATAGGTTGTAAAAAAAAAATGCTTTTAAAAGTAAAAAAAAGAGGCTCCGACGATCGCGGACCACAGCCGTTCCAGAGAACTGGTAGTAAAAAAATGCTAAAAAAGTAAAAAAAAAAAAAAAAAAAAAAAAAAGTTCCGACGATTTCGTGTCGCTCAGCTGATTGTTGGAACTTTTTTTTTTTACATTTTTTACTACCGGTTCGGGCAAACCGGACCAAACCGGGAGCGTTTCACCCGTCAGGCAGGGCAAAAAGCCCCCCCCTCCCGCGTAGTGCAGGAGGCTGATTAGGCTACACCCACCATGGCTACGCCCACCCAGCAACCACGTAGAGAACCCCTTGCTATAATTTTTGAAGCCCACCCCTGTAGAGATTGTTTGTTCTCCAAGAAGGTCAGGCCCTGAACTGGGCTTAACAGCCCAGCGTTCATGCTCAGGTGTTCCAAACCAGCTGTGAAAATGTCAAAATGACAGTGCATGTCATCTTACCATTGACATGCTTATGTAATAATGTCACGAAACCTGATACAAGTGGATGAAAATCACCTCATTGGTGTGATTGTCATCATATACATACACGTGAACTCAGCTCTGGCGCGCTGGCCAGCTGATTTTCGGATCTTCTGGGCACACTTGAAGCAGGGAAACAGGCTGTTTCCTGCCTCCGGAGGGCCTGGGGGTGGGTGGAAGAGGCCCGCTTTTTGCTTTCTCACAGGCTCCAGAGCCTCTCTAGGAGCCTGGGGAGGGCAAAAACATCCTTCCTCACCCCACCCCGGAGGCCCTCTAGAGGCCGGAAACGGCCCGTTTGCCAACTTACCAGAAGTCAGAAAAGGGGCCATTTCTGGCCTCTGGAGGGCCTTGGAGGTGGGAAAGGCCATTTTCGCCCTCCACAGGTTGCTAGAGAGGCTCTGGAGGAAATGGGGATTTTGCAGTATCCTTCCCTTGGAGTGGGGAAGGAATGGAGATTTTGCAGTATCCTTCCCCTGGAGTGGGGAGGGAATGGAGATTTTGCAGTATCCTTCCCCTGGAGTGGGGAGGGAATGGAGATTTTGCAGTATCCTTCCCCTGGAGTGGGGAGGGAATGGAGATTTTGCAGTATCCTTCCCCTGGAGTGGGGAGGGAATGGAGATTTTGCAGTATCCTTCCCCTGGAGTGGGGAGGGAATGGAGATTTTACAGTATCCTTCCCCTGGAGTGGGGAGGGAATGGAGATTTTACAGTATCCTTCCCCTGCCTCGCCCGTCAAGGCATACCCACCAAGCCATGCCCACAGAACCGGTAGTAAAATTTTTTGAAACCCACCAGTGAGCAGAAGGCGTGCCTCAGCTTGTGATCAGCTCCTGTGATGCACAATTGAGCAATGAGAAATGTCTTCCCGTTTTCACAACGGAGAGGTTTTTGAAAGAGAGCAAAAGTTGCGTACTAATGGATGATGTTCTTTTATCTGTCCTCTCTCTCTCTCTCTCTCTCTCTCTATATATATATATATAGGTTCCCGTGATTCGCAATTGTGGGTCTAATACCCTGAATTTTGAATTCCACGATACAACTCCCCGCCGGGTGTACAATGGGATATCCCAGCCATGGAAAACAACTCAGCAGAGTTCAGGTAATACTCCAGCCAAGAATGGGAGCGATAATAGATTTCCTTGGCAAGCGGCGCAAAACACTTTGTAGTCCTTGCTGCCTTATCTTCCTGTTATCCATTTGTGCTTGATCTTTTAAGTTTAAATACAACGAGACCCACTTCTAAAGCTCGGCTAGCTTTGTGTTCCTCCTGCCAGGGGAAGAGTTAGGAGCCTTTGATGGTCCTTTTTGACAGCAGAGCTTTGAGTAAAAGACGGTGTTTAAATTCAGCAGCGGGTCTAAAAGCCAACCCTCCCACTCTCTCTCTATCGTTCTTGCCTCCCTTTTAGGGAGTAATTAGATGGGATAAAATTTTGATATCTCCAATGCGTTCTTGATGTTAGGTGGAAACAGAGCAAATGCCTGGATAGCTCTGCAGACAAGGCACTGTAATTTAACACCAGCTGTCTGCAATTAAAGTAAGTTCGAATCTTGCCAGGCTCAAGGTTTACTCAGCCTTCCATCCTTTCTAAGGTAGGTAAATTGAGGACCCAGTTTGTGGGGGCAATAAACTGACTTTGTATAAATATACAAAAGTATGAAGGCTATTGCTTAACGCATTGTAAGCCGCCCTGAGTCTCCGGAGAAGGGCGGCATATAAATCAAATTAAAAAAAAAAAAATGCTAAAGCTGGTCTTGAGATTTTTTTTAATGGAAAGGATGTAAAATATACAGTACCGTTAGCCCTCGACTTACAACAGTTCATAGAGGGACTGCTCAAAGTTACAACGGCACTGAAAAAGGTGACATAATCACAGGGGTGAAATGCTCCCAGTTTGGACCAGATCGCCCGATCCGGTAGCGATGGCGGCGGGTGGTTCAGAGAACCGGTAGCAAAAATCCCTGTTCCCTCCTCCCATCTCCAGCTGAGCCACACAATCATCAGAGGCTTTTTTTTTTACTTTTAAAAGCAATTTTTTCTACAACCTCTTCAGCCGAAAAGATGCTTTTAAAAGTAAAAAAAAAAAATCCTCTAATGATCGCGCAGCTCAGCTGGGATCGTCAGAGGCTTTTAAAAGCATTTTTTCTACAACCTCATCAGGTTGTAGAAAAAATGCTTTTAAAAGAAAAAAAAAGCCTCTGACGATCAGGCAACTCAGCTGGGATCATCAGAGCCTTTTAAAAGCATTTTTTCTACAACCTCTTCAGCTGAAAAAAATGCTTTTAAAAGTAAAAAAAAAAGCCTCTAATGATCGCGCAGCTCAGCTGGGATCGTCAGAGTCTTTTAAAAGCATTTTTTTCTGCAACCTCTTCGGCCGAATGGACGTAATGCTCAATTAGACCTTCCTTCTCATTATGATCTGACTGTATCTCTTGGCAGCGAATAATTGGTACCCAACCTGGCCTGCAAAAGAAATTAGACCACTGAAAACTGAACCTGCTCATTCTCCTTACTTGGCTGGCTCAGTCAATTACCCGACTGTGAACGGCGTAGCACAACCAGGCTGGTCAGCGACTTGGACAAAAGATGGCAAGAGGAAGGAGAAACGTTGGGTGAAGTACGATGGGATCGGGCCAGTGGATGAATCTGGGATGCCCCTTGCCTCTCGATCGGTGAGTCCTTGGAACAATTGTAAACAGGATGAAAATGTCTACTTTTCAGTATCTTTCTTCCGTATACGGAGCTCAGGGTTGAACCGTTAATCACGTCAATTAATTCAGAGTCGGGTCTACAACAGTTCTTTCTTTTTGTTTTCTTTTCTTTTATTAGATTTATATACCGCCCTACTCCCGAAGGACTCGGGGCGGTGAACAGGCACAAAATAAAATACATAAATACAAAAGTTAAAAGATATAATTAAAACCAGATTAAATAATTTAGCCCAAGACAATTAAAAAAATCCCAATAATTTAAAACAAATTAAAATTTCGATGTAAAAGAATTTTAAAACAGCAATGGCCAACTTGCTGTGGGGCAAAAGTTACACTAATATCAAAGAAATGGTGGAGCAGAATCATTAAACAAAGGATCAAAAGGAGGGACAAAAGGAAATGTGAATGACAAAAATTAAAAATATTTTTTTAAAAATTTATTTTGAATACTTAAAATTGAATTTTCGAATTGTCCTGCGGCAAGCTGTCCTGTGGTGAGTTAGCCTTCATAACTCCTATTGTGATGCTTTTCCCTTCATTTTTGACAGATAACATTTTGATTTGATACTGCAGTCAATACTATCAAGAGTATAGATCCGTGTTGGCGAACCTATGGCACGCGTGCCGGAAGTGACACGCAGAGCCATTTTTCCAGGCACGCGAGCCATCGCCAAGCTCATCTGAAACTGCACATGTATGCACCTCTGGTGCACATGTGCGCAATTCAGGGGACCCAGCTGGTCTTCAGAGCTCTCCTGTGCATGTGTGCGAGATTGTGCACGTGTGCGCAGACAGTGTTTGCGTGCACGAATTATGCGCATATGGTGAGATATCAGTAAGTAAAAGGTTCGCCATCACTGGTATAGATTGTTCTAAATATATAAAGTTATCTGTATCTAATTGGTCGAAATAGTGCAATGCGTATATTTTTGGGTACCAATAGAAGAGAATATTTGCAGTGCAGCCCTTGGGGCTCTCTGAGCCAGGTTGTTTGCTTGCAAGATATTTCATTATCCCACTAGGTAACATCATCAATGCTATCTTGAGTTTGGGGTTTGCTCCCTGTTTATATATAGTTGCTTGCCTTGCCAGCGTTGGTGTGGGTATGGTTTACTCCTTGGTGGTCCTTTAACTATTGTTTACTGCCTGATTGTTTGCTTGATTTGTTTGTCTCCTTTGATTAAGCTACTGTTTCTGCTTGATTGTTTGTCTGGTGTTAATCCCTGCTTATCTAGGTGTTGGCTGCTGGAAAGGATAAATTCTGGCCTTTTTATTTCCTTCTTAGACAAAGAATTCCACCCCTCTTCATTTTTAAAAATACAACCCACTGCCTAGCTGTCACAGGCTGGGGACCTCTTGGATTGATTCCCAAGCCATGAAAACCTGGGACTGATTTGGTAGATGAATGAGAGCCATCTGTGCAGAAATGATATATATATATATATATATGTGTGACTTTCCAGATGTCCATAAAATTACCATTCTAAGCATCTTTTACCACTGGCTCACGCTTGAAGCTGCTGAGATTTGTAATTCAATGATGTCTGGAAAACTGTAGGTTTGACACCCAGGATTTAAAATTATCCAAACGTCGATCTGACATCGAGTGGATTCTGTGGTCTCATCGACATAAAAACACCGTATTTTTCAGAGTAAAAGACACACCTTAGTTTTTGGGGAGGTGGGTGGTAGGTGGATTGGCCTCCTGGAATACCCCCAATCAGCTGTTCCCAGAGGTGAATTTTAGCAATAGGTTCCTTGGTAGTGAGCTCTCGCTTTTTTTTTTTTTGCTTTTTTTCCCTGCCTCTGAAACTTCTGAAACTCCATTTCAGAAAAAAACTTTTTTCCCTGCCTTTGAAAGCCTCTGAAACAGAGCTTCAGAAAAAAAGCTTCTGAAGCTCTGTTTGGAGGCTTTTTTTCTGAAGTTCTGTTTGGAGGCTTTTTTTCTGAAGCTCTGTTTGGAGGCTTTTTTTCTGAAGCTCTGTTTGGGGGCTTTTTTTCTGAAGCTCTGTTTGGAGGCTTTTTTTCTGAAGCTCTGTTTGGAGGCTTTTTTTCTGAAAGCTCTGTTTGGAGGCTTTTTTTCTGAAGCTCTGTTTGGGGGCTTTTTTTCTGAAGTTCTGTTTGGGGGCTTCTTTTCTGAAGCTTCTTTTCTGATGCTTTTTTCAGCCTCTGAAACCTCCGTTTGAGAAGCTGGGCTGGGCTACATTTGGAGTATTTTCATTTTTTTTTTCATTTTTCATTTGATTTATATGCCGCCCTTCTCCGGAGACTCAGGGCGGCTTACAATGTGCTCAGCAATAGCCTTCATCCTTTTGTATATTTATACAAAGTCAGCTTATTGCCCCCACAACTGGGTCCTCAATTTACCTACCTTAGAAAGGATGGAAGGCTGAGTCAACCTTGAGCCTTGGCGAGATTCGAACCTGCAGTAATTGCAGGCATCTGGTCTTAATAACCAGCTTAATAACAGGGTGCCTTAGACCACTGTACTACCAAGGAGTATAAGACGCACCCAGATTTTCACCCTCTTTTTGGGGGGAAAAAGGTGCGTCTTATACTCCAAAAAATATGGTATTTTCCTTGCAAGAGTTGGCATAAAAATCTAACACTGGGTTAATAGAGTGAAAATCTAATGCTAAGTTAATATAAATTGCAGTTTACAAATTGAAAGCCAATCTTAAGAGTGCTCTTTTGCCCATTAGCTATTACTCCCCTGGGGAGATTCTCTCTTTCTAAGTCTCTTAACCTTGATCATAGATTTGGTATTTGCATCAAAGCTCTTATTCCTTTACTAACTTTGTAGCAAAGAAGGAAGCTCAAAGGGTTCCAGTTTGCAAGACATTTTACATATATAACATTTACTTCATAGGTCAGTTATAGCCTCTACACTGCCTCAGAATTCATCATTTACTTGCCTGTTTGCTCTGTGCAAGATTCCTGGTAGACTGTGCATTGCGTATTTGCAATAGCACATAGATTTGTATACCGCTTCACAGTGCTTTCCAGCCCTCTCTAAGCGGTTTACAGAGTCAGCCTCTTGCCCCCCAACAATCTGGGTCCTCATTTTACCGACCTCGGAAGGATGGAAGGCTGAGGAGTCAACCTTGAGCTGGTCGGAATCGAACTGCTGGCAGTCAGCAGAATTAACCTGCAATACTGCATTCTAACCACTGCGCCAAAGTCTTCTTGCACTCCTGAGAGAATCTTACTTTTCCGTCATGTTACAGGATTGTCGAATTCCACGCAAAGATGTTGCCTAGTCCTTCACGGTATGTGTTCTTTCGTTCCATCTTTCCTTTCCTGTTACTGATTTTACATGTTTGTTTTGTATTGCAGAGTGTAGACAGTCCTAAGGACTGGTATCGCAGCATGTTCCAGCAAATCCACAGTAAACTTCCAGGTATGAGCTTTTTCAGAGCATCCTCTTAATTTAGCAATAGCAATAGCACTTATATACCGCTTCACAGTACTTTCCAGCCCTCTCTAAGCAGTTTACAGAGTCAGCCTCTTGCCCCCCAACAATCTGGTACCTCATTTTACCCACCTCGGAAGGATGGAAGGCTGAGACAACCTTGAGCCAGTCAGGATTGAACTGTTGGCAGTGGGCAGAGGGAAGGGAAAGGAAGGGAAGGGAAGGGAAGGGAAAGGAAGGAAGGAAGGAAGGAAGGAAGGAAGGAAGGAAGGAAGGAAGGAAGGAAGGAAGGAAGGAAGGAAGGAAGGAAAATAGCAAATAGCACTTAGACTTATATACCGCTTCACAGTGCTTTACAGCCCTCTCTAAGATGTTTACAGAGTCAGCCTCTTGCCCCCCAACAATCTGGGTCCTCATTTTACCCACCTCGGAAGGATGGAAGGCTGAGTCAACCTTGAGCCTGGTGAGAATCGAACTGCCGGCAGTCGGCAGTCAGCAGAATTGGCCTGCAGTACCGCACTCTAACCCACTGCATCCCCACAGCTAATTTAGATCAGTGTACCAACTCCCAGAATAGCCAGCTGGGGAATTCTGGGAGTTGAAGTCCACACATTTGAAAGGTTGAGAAACAATAATTTAGACCCAAAAACCATCTCAATCATTTTAGATTCTCTCTCCATTTGCAGCATAGCAATGCCCTGACAACTTCCATTTTCTCTCCCCTGCGTAATGTTCCCCTCATTTCATTCCTGGTTCACACATTAAACCATTTCTTCACATTGTATACCAGGATAAAAATAGTCTTTCCCCTCATGAACCTTGTTTTTGGAGATCTTCTAGTTCAAGGCAGGTGACCTTCTATTTTGGTCAAATGGAAGGATCTTCTTGAAGTCCTCCAATGATGGAGCACCCTCAACCTCTGGAATCAAGCTGTTCCACCGATTCATTGTTCTCACTGTCAGGAAATCTCTCCTTAATTCTAGGTTGAATCTCTCTTTAACAAGCTTCCACTCATTACTTCTTGTCCTGCCCTCTGGTACTTCGTAGAGTAGGTCAACCCCCTCTTCTCTGTGACATGCCCTTCAAATATTGGAAGACAGTTATCATGTGTCCCCCACCAAATCCTTCTCTTTGATATGTTAAAGGTAAAGGTAAAAGTTCCCCTCGCACATACGTGCTAGTCGTTCCCGACTCTAGAGGGCAGTGCTCATCTCCCTTTCAAAGCCGAAGAGCCAGCGCTGTCCGAAGACATCTCCGTGGTCATGTGGCCGGCATGACTCAATGCCGAAGACACACGGAACGCTGTTACCTTCCCACCAAAGGTGGTCCCTATTTTTCTACTTGCATTTTTTACGTGCTTTCGAACGGCTAGGTTGGCAGAAGCTGGGACAAGTAACGGGAGCTCACCCCGTTATGCGGCATTAGGGATTCGAACCGCTGAACTGCCAACCTTTCTGATCGACAAGCTCAGCGTCTTAGCCACTGAGCCACCGCGTCCCTTTTTATCATGTGCCCCCCCCCTCAAAATCCTTCTCTTTGATATGCTAGACATACCTAATTCCCTCAATCATTCATTATATGATTTGCGTAACTTCCAGATCCCTTATCTTCTTTGTTGCTCTTCTCTGCAACTCTTTCATCTATTTCAGGCCAATAAGATTTGACAGAGAATCACTACAGAGGCAGAGAAGTTGCAGGAATCTGCAATGTGGACCGCTAATTTGATTATTTCTTTGTTTCTGAAGATATGGATCACACTTTAACTCAATATTGAGAAAGTGGCTTTAGAAACCATAATCTGGGCATTGACTGGGCATTGAGATAAAAAACATCAAGGAACACTACCATTATTACTATTTTTTTTTTTTGCAAAAACAATTTTTTATTTTAAAACAAAAATAAAACATAAAACATTTAAATCAGGTAGTTTATTTTAATTAGATATGGGCCAAACTGTTTAATATTTTTAAACGGTTTTTAAATTTTATATTTGTGTGTTTTATGCTGGCTGTACACCGCCCTGAGTCCCTTTGGGAGAAGGGCGGTATATAAAATAAATAAATAAATAAATAAATAAATAAATAAATAAATCCATCATCATTCCAAACAATTACAGACAGTGTATCGATCGATTGACATCCTTTTGTGCTCAATCCCATCGTCTGGATATCAATATATGACCAAAGCTTATTTTCATAAAGAAATATTTCACTTATTTTATCTCAACTTCCGCTTCATATTTATCTCCATATTTTATTATCTATCCACTGATAAAATAAACCCCATATCAAATAATATTGTTTATCTTCCTGTTCTCTTATTTCAAATGTCAATTTACTCATTTCAGCACAGTCCAACCTTTTCTTAATAACTTCTTCAGCAGTAGGTAACTTTTCTCCTTTCCAATTTTTAGCAAATACAATTCTAGCCGCTGTTAAAACATTCACAATTAAGTATTGCAATTCTTTATTATTTGTCTCTGGTAGGATCTCTAATAAAAATATAATAAATAGACATATAATACATTCTTTATTATATGTCTCTGGTAGGATCCCTAATAAAAATATCTCTGGTTTAAAGTCTTTATCATTTTTTCCAACCACATGTGTATCTTAGTCCAATATCTCTTAGCTTCTGCGCATGTCCACCACATATGGTAATAAGATCCTGGAGTCTGATGACATTTCCAACATTTCTCAACGAACACTACCATTATTGTGCATCCTCTAGTGGATAACAATTTGTCTTCTCTACCATCATTGTTTTTCTGGGAGTTTTCCCCACATCGTAATCTTATTTCGTCTGCCAAATGAAGCTTAGACCCAAACTGAGATGCCAATTCTTTTCACCTCCCTATTTGCGCATTGGAAACGTGGTTTGTTTCCTGCCACACTGCTATTCTTAGGATTTGTAACTCACTCTCGAGGTAGTAATCTCTGACTGCTTTTCCTCTTCATTTTCTCATCAATGATGAATCCGATGCATTGTGTGTGGCAGGAAACATATCAGTGATGAAATCTAAAATTTGTTATTACCGGTTCTGTGGGCGTGGCTTATTTTGTGGGCATGGCTTGGTAGGGGTAATGTGACGGTGGACGTGGCCATCTTTTTTTAACTTTTAAAACCATTTTTTCTACAACCTCTTCGGCAAAGAGGCTTTCAAAAGCCTCTGACGATCCCAGCTGAGTTGCCTGATCAGCAGAGGCTTTTTTTCTTTTAAATGCCTCTGCCAATCAGGCAACTCAGCTGGGATCGTCAGAGGCTTTTAAAAGAAAAAAAGGGTTTTTTTTTTAAATGCCTCTGACGATCCCAGTTGAACCGCGCGATCATCAGAGGCTTTTTTTTTTACTTTTAAAAGCATTTTTTCTGCCGAAGAGGTTGTAGAAAAAATGAAATCCTACTGGATTTCAACCCTGACCCACCTCCCATGGACTTCTCTCTTCTCTTTCAGAATCAGATCTGGATGGGGATCCCTACAAACCAAGAGGTACATACTTTTTTTCTGTTTTTGAACACGCTCCCTAGCTCTCAGTTGGGAAATGTTTGGGCGTTGTATGCGGAACAAAGGATTTCCCAGGAATGGCGTCATTCATGAGAGCAAATTGTGGGGTTCTCATGTTGAGAGAAAAGCATAATACAAGAGGTTCAAGATGCTTCATTTATGGGACAAGAACTTGTACCAAGAAGAAAGCACAAAAGCCTGCGGGAATGCATTTTGGGGTCATTCTACTACACCAATAAAATATTCAGAGCTTCTTGTCTTAGATCTAGTTTGTAGAAACAACTGTAGGGGCGGTGGTGGGTTTCAAATTTTTTTACTACCGGTTCTGTGGGTGTGGTTTGATGGGCGTGGCATGGCATGGCTTGATGGGCATGGCTTGGTGGGTGTGGCAGGGGAAGGATACTGTAAAATATCCATTCCCACCCCACTCCAGGGTAAGGATACTGCAAAATCCCCATTTCCTCCCGAACAGCTGGGACTCAGGAGGCAGAGAATAGATGGGGGCGGGGCAAGTCAGAATTTTTACTACTGGTTCTCTGAACTACTCAAAATTTCCGCTACCGGTTCTCCAGAACTGGTCAGAACTGCTGAAACCCACCTCTGGCATACAAATTGTCATCTGTAAACGCCCTAGTACAGCTGAGCTTTGTTATTGACCCTTTAATACAGGTTGTCAAACTTGTTTTCATTGAGGGCTGCATCAGGGTTGTGTTCAACCTAAGGGGGCCAGGGTGGGCATGGCCAGTTTGACATAACTCGTGTCGGGGGCACCTGTGGTGGCCAAATGCTAAGGCAGAACTTCCCTCAAGACTCTCCCTCCCTCTCATTATAATCTCCTTCCTTCCTTCCTTTTCTTCTTTTTCCTTCCGTCTTCATTTCTCCTTTCTTCTTCCTTCCCCACTTTCCTTCTTTTTCCTTCCTCGCTCTCTTCCCATCTTCCCTTCTTTGTCTTTCCTCTTTCCCTTTCTCCTTTCCTGTCCCTTCTTGTGTGCTCAAATGCAAAAGGGGAAACATTTCTCCTTTCGTTTTGTTTTTACTTTATTTTGCTAGCCCTCCTCTGGCAGTGAAAACGGGGCCCCGGAGGGCCGCATGCTCCGTTTTCAGATTCAGATTAGCAGAGTTGGAAGGGACCTTGTAGGTCATCTAGTCCAACCCCCTGCCCAAGCAGGAGACCCTACACCATTTCTGACAGATGGTGTCCAGTCCAGTCTCTTCTTGAAAGCTTCCAGTGATGAAACTCCCACAATTTCTGAAGGCAACTTCTGTTCCACTGGTTGATTGTTCTCACTGTTGGAACATTTATCCTTCTTTCTAGACTGAAACTCTCCTTGATCAGTTTCCATCCATTATTCCTTGTCTGGCCTTCAGGTGCTTTGGAGAATAGCTTGACCCCTTCCTCTCTGTGGCAGCCCCTCGAATACTAGAATGCTGCTTTCATGTCCTTCTCTTCACTAGACTAACCATGCCCAGTTCCTGCAACCGTTCATCGTATATTTTAGCCTCCAGTCCCCCAATCATCTTGGTTGCTCTTCTCTGCACTCTTTCTAGAGTCTCCACATATTTTTTAGAGTGTGGTGACCAAAACTGGATGAGAGGGCTGCAGGAGGCTGTTGTGGCCGAAAATGGAGCCTGAGAGGGCTGTGCGTGGCCTTTCTGAGCTCCGTTTTTGCTGGCAGAGGCACCGCAGGCTGGTCCTTCTCTGTTTCCAGATGGGCCAGATCTAAGCACTCTGTGGACCCGGCTCTTGTCCCACGGGCCTTGAATTTGACACCTCTGATTTAATATTTTCTCCTGTGACTCTGTGGAAGTGACTGATGTGGGAATAACACTCGCTTAGATGGGACAATGCTTAGAAGGTCCTTAGCAACCAAATGAAGGGCCTGAAGACATCAGACTCATGGCTTCATGGAGACTTCTTAATGATCATCCATGGTTCCATTTGGAAAGGATTGTCCATCGCACACAGTGACAATTTTGTCTCCTCTAGATCATGACCCTCCAGAGCTCATGAAGAAGAACCAACCTCCACTGATGACCTCAAGCAGTCCCTCCCGCCAAAAGAATGGCTTGGATTGGTAAGTAGAAACATGGAAGATGTGAGTCTCCCCTGTGAAGGACCGCAACCCACCAACATTGAGAAAGGCGACAAAGCCATATGAACAATCAGAAATAAATATAGGGTTGAATGTAAAGATACAAGATTACGCACTTTCTTTGGTATATTTCATAGGGTCGCAGTGGCTCAGTGGCTAAGACGCTGAGCTTGTTGATCGAAAGGTTCGAATCCCTGGTGCCACGTAATGGGGTGAGCTCCCGTGACTTGTCCCAGCTTCTGCCAACCTAGCAGTTCGAAAGCATGTAAAAAATGCAAGTAGAAAAATAGGGACCACCTTTGGTGGGAAGGTAACAGCGTTCCGTGCGCCTTTGGCGTTGAGTCATGCCGGCCACATGACCACGGATACGTCTTCGGACATCACTGGCTCTTGGGCTTTGAAACGGAGATGAGCACCGCCCCCTAGAGTCGGGAACGACTAGCACATATGTGCGAGGGGAACCTTTACCTTTTTACCTTATGAATAGAAGCTTATCTGCAACTCTACCCTGTGCGTTTATTCAGAAGTGAGGTCCATTTCAGTCAATATAAGTGAATTTGAGACTTAAGTATTTTAGGGAAGCATGGAGCATTTGGGAATCCACAAATCAACAGGATTTGAGAAAAATAAACTAAGTGCCCCCTAAAATATTGGAGGCATCCTTGTTCCCAAATTCTGTGTCATTTTTTTCTGAATTAGTGTTTTGCATCTGGCTCTGGAGAATGGACTGAAAAACGAATTAGACCCCCCAAGTCTAAAATCAGTCCATGATTGGAATAATTCATCAGTTTGAATCCATGCCTATGCCAGTGCCCAAATGTGACACTAGGGGGAGCTGTTGAGATTTTAACATGAAATGGATTCATCTATAAATATATACATGTATTATCTCGATGATTTATCTCTCAGTCGTTTTCAGCTGAGTATGTGTACCACTTTGCTTATGTTTGAAGTGTTATCAGATGACAATGGGAGATCATCCCTGTGTGGCGGTTGCAGCTTTGCCGTTTCACAACACACAATATCAACCACAACCTACCATTTACCAAGAAATGTGGGTGTATTGATACTCCCAGAGAATATGTAGGGAGGGAACGTAACGGCAAAGGCAAAAAAATGGCCTTCTAGACTATTGCAACAATCCTCTCATGCTGGGAACAGTCCCTGCTGAAGTGGATCTTTGCAAAATATAAGGCAGGAAGTCACTGGGGCCAAAAGGGAAACAAAGGCACATCGTGCAGAGCACTTCAGAGGTTCTCTCATCTTTCTTTTGCAGGAGAAATTGGGAAACTGCAGATGCTTCCAGCAATGAGCCCAGGAGCATTTTTGATTATGAACCCGGGAAGTCGTCCATCCTTGATAATCTGACTTTGGTATGCAGACCCCTAGCTTAGTTCATGGCAGAGTGTTCATTGATAGAACAATCAGTTGTTGTTGTTAGTTACGAAGTCGTGTCTGACCCATCGCGACCCCATGGACAAGGTTCCTCCATGCCTTCCTGTCCTCTACCATCCTCTGGAGTCCATTGAAGCTCACGCCGACTGCTTCGGTGACTCCATCCAGCCACCTCCTTCTCTGCCGTCCCCTTCTCCTTTTGCCCTCAATCTTTCCCAGCTCTTCTCCAGGGAGTCCTTCCTTCTCATCAGGTGGCCAAAGTATTTGAGTTTCCTCTTCAGGATCTGGGCTTCTAAAGAGCAGTCAGGGTTGATCTCCTCTAGGACTGACCGGTTGGATCGCCTTGCAGTCCAAGGGCTCGCAGGAGTCTTCTCCAGCACCAGAGTTCAAAGGCCTCCATTCTGTGGCGCTCAGCCTTCCTTATGGTCCAACTTTCACAGCCATCCATTGCAACTGGGAAAACCATAGCCTTGACTATATGCACTTTTGTTGGCAGGGTGATGTCTCTCCTTTTTTTACTGAACAATCAGTAGGCCCAGCTAATATCTGAACTAGGTCTTGTATCTCACCAATCAATGGAAGTACAGTGGAATATTGAAATAGGGATCTTTACTTGCTTCTGGCAAGTAAATCTCATTGACCTCAAGAAGCATGAAAGGATGGCACACATGCTCACAAGTTTCTGAGCTCAAATGGAATATAAGGGAAAACAGATGTCGAACAATAGTTGTAACGCCGTATGGAAAATTGGCCTCTGGAGTGGGAAGTCACATCCTGTTCTGCATCCTCCTAATTCAAGCCCAAGGACCATTGTCCCACAGGATTAATTGTCACCATATTAGAAAAAAAGATGTTGAGACTTTGGGAAAAGTGCAAAGAAGAGCAACTGAGATGATGAAAGGCCTGGAGACAAAAACGCGTGAAGAATGGCTTCAGGAATTGGGTTTGGCTAGTCTAGAGAAAAGAAGGCCGGTGGGGACGGGACATGATAGCCGTATTCCAGCACTTGGGAGGTTGCCACAAAGAGAAGGAGGTCAATTTATTCTCCAAAGCACCTGAGGGCAGGACAAGAAGCAATGGATGAAAACTAATCAAGGGGAGAAGCAACTTAGAACTAAGGAGAAGTTTCCCGACAGTGAGAACAATGAATCAGTGGAACAACTGGCCTCCAGAAATCATGGGCGCTCTATCACTAGAGTTTTTTTAAGAAGAGACTGGACAGTCACTTGTCTGAAATGGTATAGAGTCTCCTGCTTGAGTCTCCTGCTTGGGACTTGAGCTCAAGTCCCACTTGAGGACTAGAAGACCTCCAAGCTTCCTTCCAGCTCTATTCTGATTGTCCCAATTTTGAATCGTCTCTTAACTTGCCCTTCTTTTCACTGAAGTTTTAATTTGCCCGTTACAGGCCAAGAAACCCTTCACGCCATCTTCAGCACGATGCCCATCACCGCCCTCTCTGCCAATTGAGGTGAGTCCTTTCTGAAAAGCAAGGGAAATGCACATTTAGCCTCTGGCAACGTTAAGTCAGACGCAGCCAAGCATATGTTATCAACTTCCTTGGATAAAAAAAACCCGGAGGTTTGGGAGGCTAACGTAGCCAGCGAAAGGGGATGGTACTCCCAAGACGCCTGGAGTGCAGCTGTGTTTACTGGCTTCCATGGAGCAGGATCCTTTGTTATTTCCTCTCCGCCTCCTCCTCTGCCTTGAAGATTGTGCTACACACTGCAAATAGGCTGCCAAGAACTTTAGACAAGAATGCACCAGGTCAGAGTTTAGAGCGAATGAGATACAGTGCTGTCTACGATTCTAAAAACCAGGTGCCCCTTTTTTTGTGTGTGCTAAAGATCAAATAGCCACCGTCTTTTTTAAAAGAAAAAATTGTCTGTGCCCGTACAGTTCAAGAAAAGCCAGTTTCCATTCTTTTTAAAAAAAGTTTTATTATTTTTAAAACAAAAACATAAAACACATCTTTTCAAAACGAAGCTTTTGATACGGTCACAAATTAATACAAATTTGTATTTGTGAAATACAAATTTCACAATTTGTATTTGTGAAATACAAATTTCACAATTTGTATCTGTGAAATACAAATTTCACAATTTGTATTTGTGAAAATCTTACTAACAAATCTTACTTTTCAATTAACACAACTTAATATTTTACGCAAGTGTTTCCCTCAAATCTGTCTATTTAACTATGACGTTATCCCCAAAAACCCGTTACTTAAATCTTAAATCCTAACCAATTATCACTCCATTTTTTTCTTTCATTTGCTTAGATGGATATATTTTAACAATATAATTCATACAGTTATTATAAACATTCATGAAATGTTTAATGCCAACATACTCATTTTATTTTTACTATTAAACTCAAAATTTATAATCTTTATTTCTATTATTAAACCTAACTTATTCATTTTATTTTAACTATCACTCTCAGCATACTCCTCCTCATTTTAACTATCCCACCTCATTTTATTTTTGCCAGAAAACCCAACGTTGTTCTTAATTGTGAACATTCGCTTTCAAATCTACTAGGGTAGAATTTTTTTTAAAAAAATAGGGAGATTTTGAAAAATGTTGAATTCCGTATTCGTTATCATGCTGCTGCACTATCCTTGAACTATGCATGATAGTATCCTGCGGCATTGAAGCATTGTGATTTCTGTTTCGGAAATGACTGACTCCACTGTAATCTTAATTTCAGTGTAAATACAAAACGTTCCCTTATTTACCCCAGCCTGCTCCATTTTTCTAACTCCTGCCTACAATGTAATGAATAGCAGATGCTGGACGTGATATTTGGTGCCTCCATAAATGAGTTCCAGTGGGGAGTCATGTTCTGATGAAGGGGAAAAAAAAAAAAAGAAGACGACTATGAAAGACTAAAAAGGATGGTTATAAATTAAAATGTTTCCAGAGGATTTAAGTTCCAGACGATACAGATTCCACAGTAATGAACATTTTTATAGACGCATCAAATTATCCCATTCTTTCCAGGGTTAGTTTGAAAATATTTGATGCCTCCCATATTAGGGTTATGCCCTTCCTTCCTTCCTTCCTTCCTTCCTTCCTTCCTTCCTTCCTTCCTTCCTTCCTTCCTTCCTTCCTTCCTTCCTTCCTTCCTCCCTCCCTCCTCCCTCCCTCCCTTCTCACCTTCCTTCCTTCCTTCCTCCCCTCCCTCCCTTTATCTCTCCTTCCTTCCTTCCTTCCTCCCTCCCATCTTCCTTTCCTCTTATCACTCCTTCCTTCCTTCCTCCTCCCTTCTTATCTCTCCTTCCTTCCTTCTTTCCTCCCTCCCTCTTATCTCTCCTTCCTCCCACCCTCCCTCCCTCTTATCTCTCCTTCCTTCCTTCCTTCTTCCCTCCCTCTTATCTCTCCTTCTCTCCTTCCTCCTTCCTTCTTCCTTCCTTCCTTCCTTCCTTCCTTCCTTCCTTCCTTCCTTTTCTTCCTCCCTCCCTTTTTCCCTTTGTATCAGTCTTAATTCCTTAACTGCCTGGACAAATCCCTACAATTTTCTTGGCAAGATTTTTGGATGTGGTTCGTTTTTCCCCCCCGAGAGGGCTGGAAGAATATAGAACAAAATATCAGAGTTGGAAGGGGCCTTGGAGGTCTTCTAGTCCAACCCCTTGCTCAGGCAGGAAACCCTACACCATTTCAGACAAATGGCTGTCCAATCACTTCTTGAAAACCTCCAGTGATGGAGCAGAACTGGCCCATGGTCAACTAGCAGGCAGGCCTAGAAGTCAGGTCTCCCAGTTTCTGGCTCGCTTCCTGTAACCACTGCACCAACTGGCTCCCGGCCCCTCCGTATTGCACTATGAACCAATGAGCAGGATTGTGTAACCCATATAATGAACAGCTGCAGCCTAACCTGATTAAATTCAAAACGAAACCACAGAAGGAAAAGGCATGTATGTCAGGCGTTAAAAAAAATCCCCCCCCTCCCCACCGCCGGTTCTCTGAGGATTCTTCCTCCGAATTCCAAAACTCGGGCATCAGTGCCATTCCAGTGAAGTCCTGAGTTAACCTACCATATGTGGTGCTGCCAGGAAGAAAAGCCCTCCACGAGGTTTTGGGAGGACCAAAGAACATTTCAAGATACTTTCCCTTTTGCTCTCTCAGTCCCAAACAATGGAACTGGCATCTTTGCCCTCCCTCCTCCCTCCTTTTCTTTCCTTCCTTCCTTCCTTCCTTCCTTCCTTCCTTCCTTCCTTCTTCCTTCCTTCCTTCCCTCCCTCTCTCCTCCCTCTCCCCTCCTTTTTCCTTCCTTCCTTTTTCTTTTCTTCCTTCCCTTCCCTTTTCCTTCTTCCTTTCTTCCCTTCCTTCCCTCCCCTCCCTTTTCTTTCCTTCCTTCCTTCCTTCCCTTCTCTTTTTTCCTTCCCCTCCCCCTTCCCTCCTTTTTCCTTCCTTCCTTCTTTCTTTTCCTTCCCTTCCCCTTCCCTTTTTCCTTCCTTCCTTCCTTCCCTTCCCTCCCTCTCTTCTTCCTTCCTTCCTCCCCTCCCTCCCCCTCCCTTTTTCCTTCCTTCCTTCTTTCTTTTCCTTCCCTTCCCCTTCCCTTTTTCCTTCCTTCCTTCCTTCCCTTCCTTCCCTCCCCCCTCCCCTTTTCTTTCCTTCCTTCCTTCCTTCCCTCCCTCTCTTCTTCCTTTCTTCCTTCCTCCCCTCCCTCCCCCTCCTTCCTTCCTTCTTTTTTTCCTTCCTTCCCCTCCCTTTTTTCCTTCCTTCCTTCCTTCCTTCCTTCTTCCTTCCTTCCTTCCTTCCTTCCCTCCCTCCCTCCCTCCCTTCCTCCCTCCCCCCCCTCCCTTAGGCCAAGTCCAACAATTCTCAAGTGTTTATTTTCATAAAATCCAGTTAGCATAATTTCCGGGATGTTCCTCGAAATGTGGTCACGTGTGACCCTTTTATCAGTTTTTGCCCTTCCTTTTTAAAATATCCTCGTGGAAACGACAGCCTTGTGTTGCGGTTAATAGTAAAATCAAACCATAAACAAACAAACATTAAAGGCTTCCAGCTGCACCGTGGAAAAACGCACTGCATATAGAAAACATTCCAGGAAGGGAGAGTGGGTGGGGAAACGCACTCTTCGACATTTGTCTGAAGCACACTGAGTTTTTGTTTTGTTTTTTTTAACACACTGGAATCTTTTACCATATTGTGAGAGAGAGCATTTCCTTGTGAACGCACAACCTATAACTTGCAGTTTTACATTCCTTGGGGAACTGACCCCCTTCTTCTCTTCCGACCTTTGAGCCTGGAGGCTGCATTCCCGTTGAGCGCTTTCAACCTGTTGCCCTTTCAAACAAAGTGGGACTTCTGTAAGCGAGGTGTCAGGTTGATGGTACATTGTGCAACTCCGATTTAAGGAGCGGTTTGGGTAGCAGGGAGTACAGACTGACTCCACCCGTGTTGGCAGGACCAGAGCTTGGCCCTCTGGCACCGCGGTGGGCACCACTTCAGCCTGGGCACGCTTCCCTCTTGACTCAACCAGGCAGCCGTGGGCTACTCGTCTTTCTTTCCGTGGTCTCCGCAACCCATCCGCTACACTCCTAAAGCTGCGTGTTTCTTTCTCCTCTGCCAGGAGTTACTGGAGAAGGAACTGCGGCAGCTCAGCGAAGAGTTGGACAAGGATATTAGAAACCTGGAGCAACAGCAACTTATCCGTAAGGTAAAACTTCCCCTCTCTCCCCCCCACCCCCCAATTTGCTTCCTCCCCCAGTGGCATAGCACAGACAACGCATTCCTAAAGTGGCTTGGACTCAAAACCAATAGCCTCCAGCGTGGCCTTCAAGAGCCCTTCCAAATATTGTTGAAATCTAATTTTTTTTTAAAAAAAAGGAGAGGGAAGGAGCATTATTAAATGCAAGGGGGGGGGATGCTATTTTTCCAATGTATCTCATTAAATTGCAATTTGAAAAACTCAGTTGTTGTTTTTGTAGGCCTTAGTAATGCCAACACAGCGTTATGATGGAGTTGTGAGAGGCCACCACATACCCATTCCACAGTCTGTTTTCTGTTGCTCCCCTCTGGGAGGAGGTTTTGAAGTATTTCTAGCAGGACTAGTAGATTTTGTAACAGCTTTGTTCCTTATGCCACCCGTCTTATAAACTCTCAGGATTCTTGTTTTCAGAATGGAATGGAATGGAGGGGAGGGGAGAGGAGAGGATTGAATAGAATAGAATAGAATAGAATAGAATAGAATAGAATAGAATAGAATAGAATAGAATAGAATAGAATCAGAGTTGGAAGGGACCTTGGAGGTCTTCTAGTCCAACCCCCTGCTTAGGCAGGAAACCCTACACCACTTCAGACAAATGGTTATCCAACATCTTCTTAAAATCTTCCAGTGTTGGAGCATTCGCAACTTCTGGAGGCAAGTTGTTCCACTGATTAATTGTTCTAACGGTCAGGAAATTTCTTCTTAAGTCTAGGTTGCTTCTCTCCTTGATTAGAAGTTTCCATGTATATGTGTACATTCGAACTAGATTGTGATGTTTCCCTGTATCGTTTGTATGCATAACAGTTACCTTTTGAGAGCGCAATGCAACGAAATTTCATTTTAATGTGTTAGGCTTAGACTAACTTTATGGTCACTTTGAATGTACACTAATCGGCGTAAAGGTTCCCTTCGCACATATGTGCTAGTCGTTCTTGACTCTAGGGGGCAGTGCTCATCTCCGTTTCAAAGCCAAAGAGCCAGTGTTGTCCGAAGACGTCTCTGTGGTCATGTGGCCGGCATGACTCAACGCCAAAGGCGCACGAACGCTGTTCCCTTCCCACCAAAGGTGGTCCCTATTTTTTTACTTGCATTTTTTACGGGCTTTCGAACTGCTAGGTTGACAAGAAGCTGGGACAAGTCACGGGAGCTCACCAGGGGTGGGTTCTACTTACCTTTAGTACCGGTTTTCAATGGGAAACTTCTGCGCATGCGCAGATTGCTGATGACAACATCCGGAGCGGTGGGCAGAGCCTCCCGCTGGTTTTACTACCAGTTCTTGTGAACTGGTCCGAACCTGGGGCAACCCACTACTGGAGCTCACCCCATTTTACGGGATTCGAACTGCTGAACTGCCGACCTTTCAATTGACAAGCTCAGCATCTTAGCCACATGCATTACAGTAAAATTTTGTTCCATACAGCTCTCTTAAGGATCTCCATCTACAATATAGACTTCATAAACATGACAAACAAATAAATACAAAATTATGCATATACCACATATTATTATCTATCTATCTATCTATCTATCTATCTATCTATCTATCTATCTATCATCTATCTATCTATCTATCTATCTATGCTGATTAGTGTGCATTTAAAGTGACAATAAAGTTTTTGTTCTATTCTATTTTAGAACCCATGCTTTCATCTCCCTTGTGACCTTGGCTCTCAGCGCTTTCTAAATTTATCTGTTTCATCTCAGATTATTATTGGCTTTAGAGGACTCGCGATACTCAGATATATAGGTAGTCCTCGACTTACAACCACAACGGAGCCCAAAATCTCTGTTGCTAAGTGAGACGGTGGTGGTTAAGGGAGTTTTGCCTCATTTTACTATCTTGCCCTCGTTGTTAAGCAAATGACTGCATTTGTCAAGTTAGTAACACAGTCATTAAGTGAATCTAGCTTCCCCGTTGACTTTGCTTGTCAGAAGTTGGAAAAAAGGGAATCACATGGGCCCTGGGACACTGCAACCGTCATAAATATGAACCAGGCATTCGTATTTATATGAGCCAAGCATTCAAATTTTGATCACATGATCCTGGGAATGCTGCAATGGTTGTAAGTGTGAAAAATGGTCATAAGTTATTTTTTCCCAATGCTGTTGCAATAGCAATAGCCCTTAGACTTATATACCGCTTCACAGTGTTTTACAGCACTCTTTAAGCGGTCTACAGAGTCAGCATATTGTCCCCCAACAATCTGTATCCTCATTTTACCGACCTCGGAAGGATGGAAGGCTGAGTCAACCTTGAGCCGGTCAGGATTGAAGCCCTGGCTGTGGGCAGAGTTAGCCTGCAATGCTGCATTCTAATCACTGGGAAGGAAGGAAGGAGGGAGGGAGGGAGGGAGGGAGGGAGGGAGGGAGGGAGGGAGGAAGGAAGGAAGGAAGGAAGGAAGGAAGGAAGGAAGGAAGGAGGAAGGAAGGAAGGAAGGAAGGAAGGAAGGACGGACAATAGCAATAGCTATTACCGCTTATATACCGCTTATATACCGCTTCACAGTGCTTTTACAGCCCTCTCTAAGCTGTTTACAGAGTCAGCCTCTTGCCCCCAACAATCTGGGTCCTCATTTTACCGATCTTGGAAGGATGGAAGGCTGAGTCAACCTTGAGCCGGTCAGGATTGAAGCCCTGGCTGTGGGCAGAGTTAGCCTGCAATGCTGCATTCTAATCACTGAGAAGGAAGGAAGGAAGGAAGGAAGGAAGGAAGGAAGGAAGGAAGGAAGGAAGGAAGGAAGGAAGGAAGGAAGGAAGGAAGGACAATAGCAATAGCACTTAGACTTATATACCGCTTCACAGTGCTTTTACAGCCCTCTCTAAGCGGTTTACAAAGTCAGCCTCTTGCCCCCAACAATCTGGGTCCTCATTTTACCCACCTCGGAAGGACGGAAGGCTGAGTCCCACCTTGAGCCTGGTGAGATTCGAACGGCCAAACTGTCGTAAGCCGAGGACTACCTGTAATCACGTTGAAAAATCACATCATCTATTTCGTTGGCTGTACTTTCATGCCTTTAACTGGAGTCTACCCAAAAAGTCTCATTCTGGCATGCTTGTTCCTGAAACGATCAGCTTAACTCTGCATGTAAAAGGCTAAAGGAAAACAAACGAAAGTTTTTTTTTAGGACACGCATAAACATAAATGGAGCCCTTAAGTAAAAGGTTGACAACAGTAGCTATTTATAGCCTTCGGTTGGTCTAGTCTCCCCTTTGTGTCTCTCCTCCACCTGTATTTATATAATGCAGTCAGATATTGGTGTTTATTCCATATTCCACAGCTGTAGCAGAGAAGGATCAGGCACAATCAGTTCGTAGACGTTGTAACATTCAAGGAGGGGGGGGGGAAACCAGAAAGCAGGTTATTCTGGTTTCTTGTATATTGTTTTTGTTAGTGGATTTTACACAGTGGTTTCTATATCAGCATTTTTTCAAAAACGTCAATTTCCAAATGAGTGAACTCAGTGATGGGATTCAGCCGGTTCGCACCACTTCGGGAGAACCGGTTGTTAAGTTTCTGAGCAGTTTGATGAACTGGTTGTTGGAAGAAATCATTAGGGCAGAGAACCGGTTGTTAAATTATTTGAATCCCACCACTGAGTGAACTTCAACTCCCAGAGTTCCCCAGCCAGACAGCATGTTGTATGTTGTATGTTTTATTGGCTATCCACTGGTATTCTCAGGACAGATACTCCACAACTTTTGGACGTAAGCCATTCGCACTAATTAATTTTTTCTCACTGTACGACCACAATATTTCCATTGCTAAGTTAAACAGTTGTTAAGTGAGTTTGGCCCCATTTTACGACTTTTCTTGCCGTTAAATGAATCACTGCAGTGCTTAAGTTAATAACCCGGTTGTTAAGTGAGTCTGGCTTTCCCACTGACTTGGCTTGTCCGAAGGTCGCAAAAGGAGATCACATGACCCTGGGATTCTGCAACCGTCATAAATATGGACCAATTGCCAAGCATCTGAATTTTGATCATGCAATGGTCATAAGTGTGAAAAACAACCTTAAGTCACGTTTTCCGGTGCCGTTATAACTTCAAAAGGTCACTAATTGAATGGTTGTAGGTTGAGAACTTCCTATAGTCTTTTCTAGCACCATAATTGACTCTGAACGAATAAATAAAATAAAATAAGATGCGATAGTGTTTGCGGGGAAGTAATTCTGAGTGATGGTGTTTGCACAGCCCGGTATAATAAAATGTGGTCGGCTGATTTGTGAATCATCTATTGTATTTTATAAGATCGGATCAATATCAATTAATCAAGATCTCAGCAGGTGGAACAATCAACCCCCCCCAAAAAAATTTGTATGCTTCCCACAACCCTTTTCAAACAAACACTTACAACTGGCTGTACTCCAGCCTTAGGACAGAGTGGGGTTGGACTCCTGATGGAATGTTTGCTCTGTAAATATATTTTTATATATTTTATTTATTTACATCCTGCCTTTATTATTTTTATCAATAACTCAAGGCAGCGAACACACACAATTCTTCCTCCTCCTTCCTATTTTTCCTGTAGCAACAGCCCTGCGAGGTGTTTGGGCTGAGAGAGAGAGGGAGAGGTGAGTTTCAGCAAGTTCTGACCAGTTCTGGAGAACCGGTAGCGGAAATTTTGAGTAGTTCGGAGAACCAGTAGTAAAAATTCTGACTGGCCCCGCCCCCATCTATTCTCTGCCTCCCGAGTCCCAGCTGATTGGGTGGAAATGGAGATTTTGCAGTATCCTTCCCCTGCCACGCCCACCAAGCCACACCCACCAAGCCATGCCACGCCCTCCAAGCCACACCCACAGAACCGGTAGTAAAAAAATTTGAAACCCACCACTGGACTGGACTAAAGACACCCAGCTGTTTTTTATGACTAAGACAGGACTTGAATTCAGGGTTCGAACTCTGGCTTTCTAGTGGTGCTTTAACCACTAGGCCAAACTGGCTCTCATTTTATTTTATTTTTTTAAATTTGATTTATATGCCGCCCTTCTCCGGAGACTCAGGGCGGCTTACAATGTGTTAAGCAATAGCCTTCATACTTTTGTATATTTATACAAAGTCAGCTTATTGCCCCCACAAACTGGGTCCTCAATTTACCTACCTTAGAAAGGATGGAAGGCTGAGTCAACCTTGAGCCTTGGCGAGATTCGAACCTGCAGTAATTGCAGGCAGCTGTGTTAATAACAGGGTGCTTTAGACCACTGTACTACCAAGGCTCTTGGTACATTTCCCAGATGTTTGTTTTAATATTGCTTTGCATTCTATTGTTTTCAATTGTTTCCTGCTGTACTTTATACCTCCCAGATTTATAACAGGATTGGGCAGCCTGTACATTTAATAAGTGAGTAAATAATAAATAAAACCTCTCTATATTTATACGGAAAACACAAGTATAGTATAGTAATGTAAGGTTAATTAATCAGAGGCTGACACACTGTGTGAATTTGCCTTCAGTGGGGCTTATCTTTGTTACCACACCTCTTTAGCGTTGCAACCCCATTATTCTGTAATGCCTGAAATTAAAATATTATTTATTCATTATTAAATTTTTATGCTGTCCTTCTCACCATCTCAGGCGGCTTTTATAAATGATGTCAAATGAAGTAGAATTAAAAATCCCCCCCAAATTAAAGCAGATAGGAAACAGTTGTTATTTATGGCTATTAATAAATATAAATCATATCAATCGAATCGGCATATAAATCGAACCAATAAATAAATATTTTTTAAATTTATTAATTAAATTTATATGCTGCCCATCTCACTATCAAGGAAGTCTGGGCATTTTATATTATCATAAAAACATAAAACATAAACAAACAAACAAATAAATAAGTCTTACCATCGTCATGAGAGATGGGTAGGTGACTTTGAGCCAATCCTTCTCTCTTGGCTCAACCTACCTCACAGGGTTGTTTTGTGGGGAAAAGAGGAGGAGGAAGGAGTATTGTGCATGTTGGGTATCGTTGTTGCCTTGCGTTATTTGCAAAAATAATTAAAAAGGTGGGATAGAAATAAATAAAATGTAAGTAATGAAACGTTAGAAATATTAAAAACATCAATCATCAAAATGAGAAACCTGAACCATCAACAATAGATGAAATTGAATTCAGTAACAGGACCATACAGTTGGAAGGGACCTTGGAGGTCTTCTAGTCCAACCCCCTGCTCAAACAGGAGATCCTATAGTACAGTGTTTCTCAACCTTGGAAGCTTGAAGATGGGTGGACTTCAACTCCCAGAATCCCCCAGCCAGCGCTGCTGGCTGGGGGATTCTGGGAGTTGAAGTCCACCCATCTTCAAGCTACCAAGGTTGAGAAACACTGCTATAGTACCATTTCAGAAAAATGCTGGTCCGCTCTCTTCTTAAAAACCTCCATTGATGGAACATCCCTCAACTTCTGGATTTAAGTCAGTGTCCTCCCGCTGATTAATTGTTCTCGCCGTCAGGAAATCGCTGCGCACTTTCCGCCGTGCTCTTAAGACCCTCCTATTCCAGCAAGCCGGCCTGGCCTAATTTTCTCCCCTTTCTTTTAAATTTTTTAAATTGAAATTTCTTTTTCTTTTTCTTTTTTATTATTATTTTTTTTTATTGAAAAAGTTTTACAAATACAAATTTTTCCCCATTTCCCCCCTCCTTTCCCTCCCTAACCCTCCCTAACCCTCCCCTCCTCCCATGACTTCCCCAAGGTGAAATCCAAATCCAAATCATTTTATATCATATCATACTTTACCGCCCTTCTATTCTCCCCCCTGTGTACTATACATTTCTACATAACATTAAACTATTCTACCCCCTATATACTATACATTTCTACGCAACATTCAACTAAAAGCTATCTGGTACTTCCTAGTTTGATATTTATTCTGCACATAATCTATCCATTTCTTCCACTCCCATGCATAAGTCTCTTGAGTCCGGTCTTTTAAGTATGCTGATATCTTCGCCATTTCTGCAAAACTGGCCACCTTCAAAGTCCATTCTTCAATAGTAGGCAAAACATCCCTTTTCCAATATTGACCAAAAATTGAAATTTTAATTTGTTTTAAATTATTGGGGTTTTTAATTGTCTCGGGCTAAATTATTTCATTTGGTTTTCATTACGTTTCTAACTTTTGTATTGATGTATTTTATTTTGCGCCTGTTCACCGCCCTGAGTCCTTCGGGAGTAGGGCGGTATATAAATTTAATAAAACATAAACATAAACAAATTCCTTCGTAGATTTTTAGAAATTTCTCCAATTCGATTCTTTTGAAAGAAGGGGGATGTTTGTTTGTCCACTGGGCATTTGATGGGATTAGTCAAAAAACAGAATTTGAGCGGTGCCTCTCCCAATTGCCTGGCTGGGTATCCATCCATCCTGCCTGTTCTCCTTTAGACCAGTTGGCCTTTAGGACCCTGCTGTGTCCTGCTTGCCTGCCTTCTTCCCCCCCCCTCCCCTCCCCACCACCACTCCTCTGGTTTTCCCAGCACCCTGCCTGGGACTTGCTTCCCTCCCTCCCTTCCTCCCTCCCTCCCTCCCTCCCTCTCTGCTGGCTAACTATTTTGTTGCTGGCTGCTGGTTTCCGCCCGCAACACGAATTCAGACTCTTCCCCACACCGCTCTCTGTGTCAGCTCTCTTTTTTTCCCTTTCTCTACGCAGAATTCCCCGGCTGGTTCCTCTTCCCTGGCCTTCCCTGCCCGCTGGTGAGTATGTGGAATTGGGTAGGGTGTTGGAGGGTATGCGGGGAGGGGGAGAGCCTGGCACAACTGTTAGGTGCTGGCATGCAGAGTGCCCAGCTTGCCACTTGCTGCTTCCTTCTAGCTGCCAGCCGGCCACACCTTGGCTGGCAAGGGTAGCGTCATCCCGAAAGCATCTCGGGGTGGATCTGCTGCCTGCCCGCCCGCCTGCCTGGCTGGCTGGAGAAAAATTTGCAAGAGGGAGGTGGGATGGAAAGCAAGGCAAGGCAAAGGGGTGCAGCATGCTGAAGGGAGGAGGAGGAGAGTAGCTTCCCATCACTAAACAGTCTCCAGATGCGTTGGATTGCATTTCCGATCTGCAGCACGTTGGAGAAAGTTTGTTGTAACTGGAGGGTTGAAAGAGGAAAAGTTTTGAGAGTTAGAAAGTTTTTGTTTTTCCTTCGTTCAGGAGCGCTGCTCCTTTTTCCCTTGCAGGGAGTGGTGTGTTTGTGGGTGTATGTGTTAAGAGAAGAGATGAGCTGAACTTGCTGCCTGCTGAACTGAAGCATCCCGCCCAGACTCCTGGCAAAAAGAGCTTCCATGTCTGGAAGCAATGTATCTGGGAAGGTTTGGGTTGGCAGAGAGAGGAAGCGAACCGCAGGGCATAGGACTAATTGCATTAGCTGAGCAGAGCAGTGAAGATCTGGCCCTGAAAAAAAAAAAACTATTCCGGCGTTTCTCAACTTTAGCGACTTTACGGAGCGTGGACTTCACACCCTTCTGAAGTTCACACACCCTTCTTAAAGTCACCAAAGTTGAGAAACGCAGTGAGGTATTCCATGAGACGGCGAACTCTGTGGACTTTTCGGTCTGAAGTAGCAAGGCCCTGCTTATCAGGACTCATCCTGTTTTGTACATCCTGTCTCATACACGCAGACAAAAAAAACAAAAGAAGCAAGCAAGATATGTTTAGGGTCATCGAAAGAGAAAACAGTCTGGCTATCGGGACTATAGCGACAGAGGGGAAGAGAAAATGTGTCGGGGAACATGAGTCAGATTCTAATTTTTGATGGCCTTCTTGGAGAGCTGGCTGAATGTTGTCTTCTGGAAAAGCTGGCTGGGGAATTCTGGGAGGTGAAGTCCTCCAGTGTTAAAGTTGCCAAGGTTGGAGACCCCTGGTCCAGACCATATCTCGGAGCAAAGCTGGCTGGGGAATTCTGGGAGTTGAAGTCCTTCAGGTTTAAAGTTGCCAAGGTTGGAGACCCCTGGTCCAAACCATATCTCGGAGCAAAGCTGGCTGGGGAATTCTGGGAGTTGAAGTTCTCCAGGCTTAAAGTTAATTTGATTTATATGCCGCCCTTCTCCGGAGACTCAGGGCGGCTTACAGTGCGTTAAGCAATAGCCTTCATACTTTTGTATATTTATACAAAGTCACCTTATTGCCCCCACAAACTGGGTCCTCAATTTACCCACCTTAGAAAGGATGGAAGGCTGAGTCAACCTTGAGCCTGGCAAGATTCGATCTTACTTTAATTGCAGACAGCTGGTGTTAAATTACAGTGCTCTGTCTGTGAGCTATCCAGGCTCCTCCTTTCCAATTGATTTTGCTTGTCAGAAAGTCACAAAAGGGGGGGGTCACATTATAACCGTCACAAATGAGTCAGTTGTCAAGCATCTGAATTTTGATCACATGACTGTGGGGGATGCTGCAACGGTTGTAAGTGTGAAAAACGGTCATAAGTCACTTTTTTGCAATGGCCGATCAATGGTTCACTTCAAATGGTCACTAAATGAATGGTTGTAACTCAAGGACTATATCTGTGTAAAGATATCATTATATCAATTTGTACCATATCCCGAAATTAATATTTTTGCCACTGCAATTCCTTCATCTTGAATATTTTCCAGATTCATTATAGAGTTATTAACTGTCATATGATGACTTTAGGATGGAATGCCTGATTCGTTCCCTCCTTTTTGTCTGTCTGATAATCCTGTAAAATAATTCAAGTTGAGAGACCGTGGCTGTTCACAGAATACTCTAGGTTCAAATGTGGTTTGGTAACTACAGTTAGTTCTCGACTTACAACAGTTCGTTTAGTGACCAAAGTCACGATGGCACTGAAAAAAGTGACATGGTCATTTTTCACACTTATGACTGCTGCAACATCCCCTTAATCACACAATCAAAATTCAGATGCTTTGCAACTGGTTCATATTTATGACGGTTGCATAAATAGCAGGGGTCTTAAGACTTGTGGGCTTCAACTCCCAGAATTCCTCAGCCATCACCTTGGCAACTTTAAGACTTGTGGACTTCAACTCCCAGAATTCCTTAGCCGTCACCTTGGCAACTTTAAGACTTGTGGACTTCTATTCCCAGAATTCCTCAGCCGGTACCTTGGCAACTTTAAGACTTGTGGACTTCAACTCCCAGAATTCCTCAGCCGGCACCTTGGCAACTTTAAGACTTGTGGACTTCAACTCCCAGAATTCCTCAGCCGGTACCTTGGCAACTTTAAGACTTGTGGACTTCAACTCCCAGGTTCCTTGGCAACTTTGTGGGATTTGAAGTCCATAAATCTTAAAGTTGCCAAGGTTGGAGAAGCTTCTGTGCATGTGCAGATCGATGACGACGACATCTGAGACGAAGGGCGGGGCCTCCCACCGGTTCTTACGAACCGGTCCGAACCGGGGCAACCCACCACTGCTGCCCAGAGTCATGTCATCCCCTTTTGCGATCTTCTGATAAACAATGGTGAAGCCAGATTCACTTAACAACCACGTTACTAACTTAACAACTGCAGGGGGTTCACTTCAATTGTGGTCGTAAATTGAGGACTACCTCTATAGCGTTGGCCCAGTTGGGACAGCTAATTGGGAATTTTTGTGTTTGCAAACCTAGGCAATTGGCCTCCTTCACTAAGCCACTTGAACTCAAAAGATTACTTTAAGTGCTTCATAGTTGAGCAAGAATGTGGATTTTAGATTCCGGGCCCTCCCCGCCCCCCCTCCTGCATCCATTCCACAAAAACTTAATAACATCTTACGATTATGAAAGGTGAAATGATGATACGTTCCTTGTCGAAACTGTATAGTCTCTGGGTGTGTGTATTGTATGTGTGTGTATGTGTGTGTGTGTGTGTGTGTATAGGCTGGATTACACATTGTTTTAGTAATGGCTTGTTGACTAATTTAGTGGCCAGGCTTACATAGCAACGCTAAGATGTACATCACAACATACAACCCACAGTGAGACATTCATGCAACTTGTTGAGCCAAAACGTAACCATCAGATTGTGGTACTTTTTAGATGCACGAGGCCAGGGACCGTTTTATAGTGGTTCAGAAATAAAATTAGTAAGCACTGAAGCTCAGATGTTTGCCCTCCTGCCTGGTTGCATTCTTATTTGTCTTTTGCACAAAACAGGCAAGTCGGCTTCCAAAAATTGACATTTTTTAAAAAAAAAATGTTTATTACATTCCAAAGATTAAAATACACAGTACAAAAAGAAACATAATATGCAAAAAACAAGACACACACACACAGAAATATAAACAAACAAAGGCAAACGTATCTAATTTTCAATACTAGTAACTGACAAAATTGTCAATTTTGATGCATGCCTCATCACGGGATGTAAAACTCAGTGAAAGTGTGTTTCTCAAGTTTTCATTTCTAGGTATGATGCCTGCTTTGAAATACATTCACTTACAAAGTGAGCAGTAACAAGAGATACTATTGGTATACACCAGAGGTCTTCAAACTTGGCAGCTTTAAGACTTGTGGACTTCAACTCCCAGAATTCTCCAGCCAGCTGTGCTTCTGGAGCCAGCTGTGCTGGCTGGAGAATTCTGGGAGTTGATGTCCACAAGTCTTAAAGCTGCCAAGTTTGAAGACCTCTGAGATACACAGAACTGGTTTCACGACCTCTTTACCCATTAGAAAGTCATCCATAACATTGCTGTGAGCAGAGAAATGGCTGGGGAAATTTCTGATGCCTGAAATGGAAAAACAAGGATCTTTTTTTTTAAAAAAAAAATGTATTTATCCTTCTATTGCTTTTAAGATAGTGTCAAAAAAAGAAATGGAAAAAACACAAAAGTTAAAAATACATTGTCAAAAGAAGAAAAACCCACATAGAATGTGCTTTTAAAAGAAAATGAAAAAGATACAATTAGGAAAAAGAAGGATATAATTTTAACAATAAATAATTACAATCCTATCTATGTATTTGTTTAATGCAATTGTTATTCAAGTACATACAAATTTCTAGTATGTTCATATAACCATCATGATTTTTTTTTTAAAAAAAACATACTGCATTCTGTAAAAGTATACTTAAAAGTATGACCGAGAAAAAAATCCTAAACCAAATAAGGGATTCACAATTGAGGCAACTAGGAAGTTCCCAATTTCAGCAACTCAATATATTTAGGGGAAGGTTATTTAAATATTTTGGGTTGGGTTAGTCTAATGCTAGCTAAAATACAGCTTAGTTTGCATGGAAAGGGGATGCTGTCCCTTTAAACATATTAAAACAGGGTTGTCCAACCTTGGCAATTTTATGACTTGTGGACTTCACTCCCAGAATTCTCCAGCCAACATTGATGGCTGGGCAATTCTGGGAGTTGAAGTCCACAAGTCTTAAAAGTTGCCAAGCTTGGACAATCCTGCATTAAAACAATTTAAAAGGACTGAAGTTGTACATCAGCAAAATATTTGCTGTATGCCAGGTTCTTCTTGTTGCCTCCACACTTCCTGTTCAACTTGACCTTGACTTGCTAAGACATCTCCAAGGGCCCCTGGCTTGGATGAGGACTTCAGAGAGGCCTGCTAGTTATTTGTGGAAAGAAGAGCTGGAGATAAACCTCTGAGCTTTGATTCCACAAGGACGAGGGAAGGAGGTTTGGGTGGATCAAGGCTAGTCTTAGAAATAGAGGAGATTGGAAGCTGAGGAAGGTAGAGTCTTTCATTATTGGAAAGGATCCCCGAGAGGTGCTGCTTGTTTGTGGATTATTGATTGACTGTATTCCCATCTTCAAGATGCAAAGGCCTCTTTTCTACGTGGCATGCTTCTCCTTTTATTGAAGGGGCATGATAAGATTAGCAATAGTAATTGCACTTTTCAGCCCTTTCTAAGTGGTTTACAGTGTCAGTATATTCGCCCCCAACAATCTGGGTCCTCATTTTACCGACCTCAGAAGGATGGAAGGCTGAGTCAACCTGGAGTCCCATCAGGATCGAACTTCTGGCTCTGGGCAGAGTTAGCTTGCAATACTGCATTCTAACCACTGCGCCATCATGGCTCCTTGTATGGAGTTGGTCCTAGTCAGATTGTAGGTATGAAATGCGCAGAGATATGATGGAGTCCAAGATACCATCTGTAAGTCAAGTGTCAGTGAGTTAGTCATTAAGCAGATCTGATTTTACTGCCTACATTGGCTGGATTGAGCTTGCTTTCACTGTGTCCCCAATTTCTCTTACTTGGCAGCCCATTGCCCACTTCTGGTGTCCATCCTGTAGCCCCGGGCCACATACCAGCCAGCCCAAGAATGGAGAAAGGAAGCCCAGGTGTTACCAGAAGTACCTGGAGCAACTCTCTACCCAGGAACGGTATGACTCAGGGTTTATATGGAACAATGTGGGCATGTAATTCAACTCAACAATTCAAGGGGATAAATATACCCGTGTTTCTCTGAAAAATAAGACCAGGTCTTATATTAATTTTTGCTCCAAAAGACACATTAGGGCTTATTTTCCAGTTAGGGCTTATTTTCAGGGAAATAGGGCACTAAATGCATCCGTCTGGCTGACGATCTTAACTGGGGCTTATTTTTGGGGTAAGGTTTCTATTACGAGCATTCTGAAAAATCGTGCTAGGGCTTATTTTGGGGTTGGGTCTTATTTTTGGAAAAACAGTATATTCTCTGGAAAGTCAGCATGCTTTGCCACCTTCTGTAATCAAGTGCCAATTTGGAAGAAAAGAGGCCCTAGAAAAGGCAGGAGGTAAAATACCCTGTTTCCCCGAAAATAAGACATCCCCCGATAATAAGCCCCATCGGGCTTTTGAGCGCATGTGCTAAAATAAGCCTCCTCCCCGAAAATAAGCCCTCCCTGAAAATATTTAAATGCAGAGCTGGAAATCAGGTAAGGCGGCAAGAGGAGCCCCATCTTGCTCCATGCGCCCCAAAATAATAAGACCTCCCTGAAAATAAGGCCAGGCGCTTATTTCGGGGTTCACAAAACATAAGACAGGGTCTTATTTTTGGGGAAACACGGTAGATCTTCTCAGATCTCATATAGGATTGGTGGTTCATGTTTCCCAGCTTCTGGACAGAAAAGAGACTCGGTGACAGTTAAATCCCATCCATGTAAGCGGACAATGAAAAATACTTTAGAATCTTTCTTGCTAGGTTTCTTACTGTATGTTTTTTTTTAAAAAAAACACTTCTGAGAACGTTTATCGTACATATATTCTTTCTTCATCCCCCTTCTAAAATAATGCACTATATATATTTTTCTATGAGTTGCAAGCCCTTTAGAGATACAGACATGGAACGTTATTTCCTGAAGGATATGTCAAACTAAGAATACCCCCCACACACACTTTTCTTTTTTCCTTTTGGGCTGAAGATTGTCCTTTCCTCCACCACCTCTTCATTACAGTTTGACTCACATATTAATGCTAATACGATGCAAATTGCAGCCAAGTCAGCGAATACATGGGCTGAAGCATCTAACTCTGGAAATTTGCCATAATTCAGTGGGTGGTCAGCTATTTTGTTGAGCTGTGGATCATTCTTGTTAAGAAAGATGAAAACAGTCTCCTAAAATGTTTTCCTTTGTTCCTTAATCAATATAGATGAAGTGTAGTGACACAAAAGCATTTTGACCAGATGGATAATAATTTTTTTTGATGCTGGGGAACCAAGTGGGATTTTGGAGAGCAATCATATATATGTACTCCCTTTCTGTTGATGTTTGGGGAGCTGTAGCCAGTCCCAAGTCACTCATCTCTCAGAAGAAGACAAATAGTAAAATTGCTCCCAATTACCATATTTTTTGGAGTATTAGACGCACCTTAGTTTTTAGGGAGGAAAATAAGAAAAAAGCTGATTGGCAGGTGGATCGGCCTCCCGGAAAACCCCCAATCAGCTGTTCCCAGAATTTTAGTAACAGATTCCTTGGTTGTGAGCTGTGTGCCTTGCTTTTTTTTTTTGCTTTTTTTTTTCTGCCTCTGAAACTTCTGAAACTCTGTTTCAGAAAAAGCTTTTTTTCCTGCCTCTGAAATCCTCTGAAACAGCTTCAGAAAAAAAGCCTCTGAAGCTCTGTTTGGAGGCCTTTTTTCTGAAGCTGTGTTTGGAGGCTTTTTTTCTGAAGCTCTGTTTGGAGGCTTTTTTTTCTGAAGCTTCGTTTCTGATGCTTTTTTCAGCCTCTGAAACCTCCGTTTGAGAAGCTGGGCCGGGCTACATTCGGAGTATAAGACACATCCAGATTATAACTCTCTTTTTTGGGAGAAAAAGGTGCGTCTTATACTCCGAAAAATACAGTAATCCTTTTAGGTCCTGAATGCCAACATGCTCTGTTCCATTTCATTTTACTTCCAGTTTTTTCCCCCCTTTTCTAGGCTAATGAACTGAATCATCCACCAATCTTAATTTTGCTCACCTGGGTAGCTGTGTTGTCTATGTGTATATATGTTCAAATTAAAGGAATGTGTAAAGTAAAAGAAATGGGGGTAAGGAACAGTTTGCTCCAAGGGAAGTATTGTAGATGGTTGGAGATGAATATCTCTACTCAGCATATATGTGGATTTGCCGTTTCTTGCAAAGTGTATTATTGAAATTCGGTTTATATGATCGGTTGAGAGTTAGCTTTCCTTTTTTTCCTTTCGGTTCAAAAGATTCACTCTTTCCCTTCTTTTCTTCATCCAGATCCTCTGAGACTTCCTGGGCAAAGTCCCTTCCTTGATTCTTCAGAAATCCTTCTAGATAGTCCTCCCAAGAGAGATGAGAAGAAGGTGAGGTGCAATTTTCTACCAAAAAGGAGGCAGATTGGATTTATGTGGGCTGTCAGTCTTTCTCAATTTAGCTTCTCCTAGCTCAGGCGTCTCCAACCTTGGCAAATTTTAAGACTTGGGGACTTCAACTCCCAGAATTCCCCAGCCAGCATGAAGTCCACAAGTCTTAAAGTTGCCAAGTTTGTAGACCCAGATTCACTTAACGACGGCTTATTACTAACCGCAGTGATTCACTTAACAACTGTGGCAAGGAAGGTTGTAAAATGGAGCAAACTGACTTCACGACTGTTTCACTTAGCGACAGAAATGTCGGGCCCAGTTGTGGTTATAAGTTGAGGACTACTTGTAGTTGTGTTCATGGCTGGTTTTCTTTTATAATTGGAGTGTATGGGTTTTTAATGTTCTTTTAAAAAAATTTCATGGGATATTGTTTTATGGGATATTATTCTCATTGCTTTTTTGCTGTAAGCCGCCCAGAGTCCCTAGGGAATTGGGCGGCATAGAAATGCGACTAATAAATAATAAATAATAATAATTGAGTGCCCTTTAATTCGGCTTTGGACTCTGGGTCTGCTTTTAACTTATTTCTCTTCCCCCACCCCTGCCAGATGAAAGCTGCCCGGCTCAAATTTGATTTCCAAGCAGAATCGCCAAAGTAAGTAGCAATATCTGGCAGCCTTTAGCAGCCATGTAATACTTTAATGCCTTGGCGCTGTTGCCACGCGGGTGAATTGTGATTGTTGTAGCGCAGAATTGAGGCCCAAGGTCTCTCTGAGCTCTTGAAAGCCTTTGGCATGGCCACAAGAGGTGGTTACTAAATTATAGCATTTGATATAATTAGATATCGCTTTCAAATATAGGACCGAACACTATGAATTATATTGACATTTAAAAACTTTGTAAAGGAAGTTGATTTCTTTGGTTCTGCTCCAGCAACCACTTAACAGATTAACAGAGTTGGGAGGGATCTTATAGGTCCATGATGGCGAACCTATGGCACGCGTGCCATGGGTGGCACGCGGAGTCATGTTGCCTGGCACGCCAGCTCAGCTCTGTCAGCTGATTTTCGGCCCTTTTGGGCCCACCAGAAGAGGGCCTGGGGGGGGGGGAAGGCCCGTTTTTCTTTCTCCCTGGCTCCAGATCCTCTCTATGCATCTGGGGAGGGTGAAAACAGCCTTCCCACCCCTTCCAAATTTGTTCTTCTGTTATTGTCAACTGCACTTGCTCCTCCTCCTTACCACATCTCTTGCAAAGTCTGACTGCGTTCTCTCCTCACAGTCAGCTAGTGGTACATCAGGGTAGCCCACCCTACTTACTACCGTATTTTTCAGAGTATAAGACACCCCTTTTCCCCCCTAAAAGGGGGTGAAAATGTAGGTGCATCTTATACACTGAATGTAGCCCCGCCCTGCCACTGTCACCCACCCTTTGGCCTCTGCCTCACAGCAGTTACCTCCTTGCAGCAAGAAGAAACAGCTCATTTCAGCTTCAGCACAGCCTAATTAGCACAAGTTGATTGGACCGGCCTCCCCACTCTCAGCTGTTTTGTTCTCAGCTGTTTTGCGGGGGCCTCTGCTGCTTGCTGCAAGGAGGTAAATTGCGGAGAGCAGATTTTTTTTTTTGTGCTAATCAAGCTATGCTGAAAACGAAAGTAAAGCAGGCTGTTTGCTGTTTGCTGCAATGAGGCAAAATTGCTGGGAGGCAGAGGCAGACTTCTTTTTCTTGTTTCCCTCACCAAAAAAGGTAGGCGCGTCTTATACTCCGGAGCGTCTTATACGCCGAAAAATACGGTATATGGAATCTAGCAGAAATGTTAATTCCTTTTCCCATGCACTTTAATGTGACCACACCTGGATATGCCAGAAACAATACTGAAGAGATCAAAATCCCAGTAGGGCAGTCTTTTGAGTGATGATGGGAGTTGAAATACTCTGTCTATTTGTTTGTTTATTACCATTCAACAACCACGTTCTTGAAAGTAAAACCTATTAACTTCAGTTGAGCGGAGGTTAAATGCAAATATACTGTTTTTGCAAAACGTCTGCCTCATCCTTTTTTCCCCCCATGATGAAATGCAATCAAGAGCCTGAGTAATTTCCCCAATAACTACTGACTACACCCAAAAATACTATGCTTCAGCAAAGTGACTATGTTAGACTGTCATCTGGTATACACGAAGGTATTATGGATAATGCACGAAAGGAAATTCCAGTGCTGTCGATAATGTTCAGCTACGATAATATATTTACACCCATATTATCTTTGCTAGTCTTTCCCAACCAGCTTACGAGTGCCAGAATTTTGGGAGGACATCTCAATTTCATTAGAAGTGCCTTATGTGAAGTTAGCCAGTTTAGAACGCAAAACATATGCTGTACTGTTGGAACATATGGCTCTAACCCACATACAGAATGTTTTACCATGTTGAATGTTTAACTCTTGTTATATCATGGATTGAAAATTTAGGTAGTGTCATAGTGACCTGCTCCAAAGAACCTCAACCCAGATACACTTGGTTCCCCAGCTGCAACGTTCTTGATCCATTGGATTTGACAGAGACTAACCATGGCTTCATCCACTCACTAGACAGAACTGTCAGTCAAAACTGTCAGTCAGAACATCAGTCAGAACTGATGAAGCTTCTTGGATGAGAAGCAAAAGTTCTTCCATTCACTGATCAGAACTCAGTCAGAGCTGTCAGTCAGAACATCAGTCAGAACTGATGAAACTTCTTGGATGAGAAGCCAAACTTCTTCCATTCACTGATCAGAACTCAGTCAGAACTGATGAAGCTTCTTGGATGAGAAGCAAAAGTTCTTCCATTCACTGATCAGAACTAAGTCAGAGCTGTCAGTCAGAACATCAGTCAGAACTGATGAAACTTCTTGGATGAGAAGCCAAACTTCTTCCATTCACTGATCAGAACTCAGTCAGAACTGATGAAGCTTCTTGGACAAGAAGCAAAGCTTCTTCCACTCACTGATCAGAACTCAGTCAGAACATTCAGTCAGAACATCAGTCAGAACGGATGAAGCTTCTTGGATGAGAAGCAAAACTTCTTCCACTCACTGATCAGAACTCAGTCAGAACTGTCAGTCAGAACTGATGAAGCTTCTTGGATGAGAAGCAAAACTTCTTCCACTCACTGATCAGAACTAAGTCAGAACTGTCAGTCATATCATCAGTCAGAATGGATGAAGCTTCTTGGATGAGAAGCAAAACTTCTTCTTCCGCAAGGAAAAAAAAATAGTAAAGTTGCCTTTTTTAAAAAAGCACCTTTGAGACAACCACGAGGCCCGGATGACTGAGAATCTCTACAGACTTTCTGCCCTGTAGTCTCAACATTTAGCGAAAAAAGTCTACCATCTCTTTTTACAGGCTCTCAATTGTGAAAAAGAAGTTTAGCGTGACTTTCAGTGTGAATCCTGCCTTTCTACTCTAACAAAGTACCGAAAGCAGATAACGCAAGTTGAAAAACAAAAGCAATAATATTGAAAAGTTTAGGGTTTTTTTTAAAAAAAATAAATAAATAGCGTTAGCGATTCAGAGGAGAATGGCAGGATTAAAATTGAATATAAACTAAATGGGGGGAAAAAAGCCAGTGTGCTTTCCAAGTGCAACAAGATTCCTCACCCCCATTTCTACATCACATGAGTTGCTTGTGTGAAGCTTTGCCCAAGTTCTTCAACTCTCACTGTTTTTCTGCTTGGGTGGAGAATGTACCCTAGAACACACCCCACTGTCCTGCACAAAATATTTCCTGGAGCAACATAGCTTTAGAAAAACCACAGCTACATTCTTTGGACGCCACGAAAGGATCGACGCGAAAGGGTTCAATTTATCTCAATCGTGGCATTAAGCCATTTAACCTGAACAGGACGCGGCTTGTACAAACCCAGAGAAGTGACTTGAAGAGGCCCTTGAAGGAGGTTCGCTCTGAAAGAATTTTTAACAGTGTGTTGTCCCCAATTTTGGGTCTGAGCCTGATGCCGAAGCCAATGTTGGATGCCAGACACGAGGTGGAGGTTTTCTGTTTGCTTTTTATTGGAGTACTGCAAGGAAAAGGGGTCCTCCTAGCCAAAATGCCAAGAACCAAGAACAAAGGAGCCTGAGTGGCGTAGGAGGCTAATGCCTCCTAAGGCAGCATTTAACATCCAGCTGCCTGCAATTACTGCGAGTTCAATTCTCACCAGGCTCAAGGTCGACTCAGCCTTCCATCCTTTCTAAGGTGGGTAAATTGAGGACCCAGTTTGTGGGGGCAATAAGCTGACTTTGTATAAAATATACAAAAGGATGAAGGCTATTGCTTAACGCGTTGTAAGCCGCCCTGAGTCTCCGGAGAAGGGCGGCATATAAATCAAATTAAAAAAAAAAAAAAGGATTAAGTAAGCTTTATATATTTTCACTAAAGGAGAAGACGGGACAAGGAGAGAAATATCATCTAATAAACATTTTGGTAATCATTCTACAATTCGTTCTGTTAGTCTCTAGCTGTCCCTATTCCTAAACCTTGGCTAATGAATACCCCAGGACAGTGGTGGGTTCCTCCCGGTTCGGCCTGGTTCGGCCGAGCCGGTAGCGGTGACGATATGACGTCACTGAACCAGTTCTGCCCCCCCACCCCCCTACCCCTGCATTATTCTTACCTTTTATTTGGCCCCACCCCCAATCTATTGCTGCCTCCTGAGTCCCAGCTATCGGCTAGAGGGGAAAAAACTGTTTAAGCTCTTGCCGTGGGGCTTCAAAGGGCCGCCCTACAGCTGATCAGTGGTAAAAGAAAACAAATGAGTAGACCGGTGCCTGCAAAAATAAATAGGTAGACCAGTGCCTGCAAAAATAAATGGGTAGACCAGTGCCTCCAAAAACAAAATAAGTAGACCGGTACAGCTCTGCAAGCAGTTAAAAGCCTGGTAGACCAGTACCTCTGCTAAATCCTAAAGAATTGTCACATGATCATCAAGCCATGCCCACAAAATAAGCCACGCCCACAGAACTAGTAGTAAAAAAATTTAGAACCCACCCCTGCCCCAGGAGTTATCTAATGCACATTTTATTGGCTGCAGGCCATCTGTATTCCTAATTTTTAGCTGAGGCCTGCAAGTTGTCTAACTCTTGTTGCTTTTATCAGCTTTCTATCTGCCCAGAATTGCTACAAGTTTTACACATACGTATTTCCTGTAGATAAGCATTCTATGTTCTTGCCAGACACACTCCCCAATTACAAGCTTCCTGATTTACTTTCAAGTGTGTCTTATGACCTGGCTTTATTTTAGCCTACAGCCCATCAAGTGGTCCTTATTTTACCTGCTTGTCTTTCAGAGAACTGACCTTACAGAAAGGTGACATTGTCTACATCCACAAAGAAGTAGACAAAAACTGGCTTGAAGGAGAACACCATGGCAGAGTGGGCATTTTCCCTGCTAATTACGTGGAGGTAAGCTTCTGGGCCCATTGGGGACTTTTTGGCTGCCCAACTAAACTTGAAATAGATTTTGTATACCTATACAGAAGAGAGAGGAGCGGTGATGGGTTGCCCCCGGTTCTGTCCAGTTCTATAGAACCTGTAGTAAAACCGGCAGGAGGCTCCGCCCATCTGCCATGACGTCATCATGGGTGATCTGCGCATGTGCAGAAGCGCGTGCACGTGGTCCTGTTGCAAACCAGAGTAAAGGTACCGTATTTTTCGGAGTATAAGACGCACCTTTTTCCCCCCTAAAAGGGGGTGAAAATTTGGGCACGTCTTATACACTGAATGTAGCCCCGCCCACAGACTGGCCACCACCGTTTGGCCTCTGCCTCCCAGCAATTTACCTCTTTGCAGCAAGCAGCAAGAAGAAACAGCTCGTTTCAGCTTCAGCACAGCCTAATTAGCATAAGTTGATTAGATCGGCCTCCCAACTCTCAGCTGTTTTGCTCTCAGCTGTTTTGCGGGGGCCTCTGCTGCTTGCTGCAAGGAGGTAAATTGCTGGGAGCAGATTTTTTTTTTCTTGTGCTAATCAAGCTATGCTGAAAACGAAAATGAAAGTAAAGCAGGCTGTTTGCTGTTTGCTGCAACGAGGCAAAATTGCTGGGAGGCAGAGGCAGATTTCTTTTTCTTGTTTTCCTCACCAAAAAAGGTAGGTACGTCTTATAGTCTGGTGCGTCTTATATTCCGAAAAATACGGTAAGTAGAACTCACCCCTGGAGAGGAGGTAGCAGAAACTGAGGGAAGGGGATCACTTTTTAAGAATTCAGGATTCCCCACTTGCTAAAGGGCAAATTTAGTAAAAATCTTGTTTCATTGTGCCATGCTGGATGTTGACAGACATACTTTCTACTTTTATGTTTCCATTCTATTATTCCTCCAGACCAGGGGTGTCAAACTTAAGGCTTGGGGGCTGGATCCGGCCTGCGGGGTGCTTAGCTCTGACCCATGGGGCCGCCCTGGAAACAGCGAAGGACTAGCCTGTGATGCCTCTGCCAGCGAAAACAGAGCACGGGAGAGCTGCACGCGGCCCTCCCAAGCTCCGTTTTCACTGGCAGAGGATTGCAGGAGGCCATCACAGCCAAAAACGGAGCTCGGGAGCCCGTTTTCTCTGGCAGAGCGCTAGGGCCATCACAGGTGCCCCCAATACGAGTGACGTCGAGCTGGCCACGCCCACCCTAGCCACACCCACTCTGGCCCCCTGAGGTCAGGCACAACCCTGTTCTTCTACCATTCCATACCTCCCTTCTTCCACGACAACCATTCCTCTCCTTCTCCCCTCTTACCCTTCTCTCCCTTCTTCTATTCTTTTCAACTTTCTTGTTTCCTCCTCTCCTTCCCCTTCTCTCCTTCCTCTTCCTTTCCCCCACTCCTCCCCTCTTCCTCTCTTACTAACCCTCTCTCCTAATCTTATTTCCCTGTTTATTATTATTATTATTATTATTATTATTATTATTATTATTATTATTAATAATAATAATAATAATAATAATAATAATAATAATAATATAATAATAATAATAAAATTTGTATAGCACCCTTCTCCTTTCGGACTCAGGGCGGTGAACAGCCAAAATAAAAACATTTGTACACAAAAGTTAAAATAATTATTTAAAACTAATTAAATAGAATTTGGCCCATAATTTAAAACATATCAATTAAAATCAATATCAAACGTTAAAACCAACATGGAATCAGGCCAGCCCGGCTAGCTGAAAAAAGTAAGTTTTTAGGGCCCGACGAAAAGTCCGGAGGTCTGAGATCACTCGTATCACTGGAGGTAGATTGTTCCAGAGGGTAGATGCCACCACAGAGAAGGCTCTCCCCCTGGGGGTCGCCAGCCGACATTGTCTGGCTGACGGCACCCTGAGGAGGCCCTCTCTGTGGGAGCGAACCGGCCGGTGGGAGGCAATTGGTGGCAGAAGGCGGTCCCGTAACAATGCCCCTTTAAAAGAGGCATTGTTCTGATGTTCAGGGAAAGAATCGGAGCAGGCCCATGTCCTGCACAAATAACAAGAGTGTGGCACACGCAAGCATTTTCCTCCTTCATACTTTCACTGCCAATGATGTGTTCCAGTAAAGATGTTTGGTGGTCAGGTGAGCTCTTTCTCTGGGAACCTGTATCCCAGATTAAAGCCATAACACTGTTGTTGTACTGCTGCTTCCTTTTTTCAACATAGGTCCTGCCTCCAACCGAAATTCCCAAGCCCATCAAAGTGCCCTCCATCCAAGTCTTGGAGTATGGGGAAGCAGTGGCCCAGTACAACTTCAAAGGAGACCTGGCAGTAGAGCTGTCCTTCCGAAAGGTATCTAAGTCCACATATTAGCAGAAACATACCAGTGGTGGGTTACTACCAGTTCGCCCCGGATCGGGCAATGTCCCCGGAGGAGGCTCTGCCCACCCGCCCGGACGTCTCTGCATATGTGCAGAAGCTTCTGCGCATGTGTGAGCGCACCCGTGCGCCTGTAAGTACACATGCACCCGTGAGCGAACCGGTAGCGATCGAAATTGAAACCCACTACTGAAACATACATTCTTGCTCAGAGTGGAGCCAGCAACAAAATGGCTTCAGGGCCTCCTTTCCATGGTGCGTCTGGGCTCCAGGCCAGTTCATTCCCCTCCAACAGATGTGGGGTTTGGTTAGCTGTCTCCGCTTCTCATAATGGAGCTCTGAGGCAGCCAGTAATATTTTTAGTGCCTGTAGGAAAATATGCAAGGGGCACCTCCTGTGGCGATGGAACCATGTCATAAATAATGTCCTGTCACTTTTGAACATCAGTGCTGAAAAGTGCCACCTGAAAGCAGGGGTGAAATGCTACCGGTTCGGGTAAACTGGTAGTGATAAAAACTACCAATTCAGGCAAACAGGTAGGAAAAAAGAAGCTACCGATTCAGGCGAACCAGTAGTTAAAAAAGCTACCGGTTCTTTTGAACCGGTATTTCCAATGATCAGCTGTGCCGCACGGTTTATATTCCCTAGAAAGCAGGAAATACTACTTTCTAGCAAATCTAACGTCAGCTCCGGTGTGCCCAATGGCCTGGAGCTGCCATTTGGGGGAGAACGGCCGTCGCTACAGCCGTGGAGGACAGGGGCCCTGCACACTACCTTGCCAGCTGCTGAGGACTTGGGACAGAGGGCGAGGAGACGTTCCATCATCTGGGATGGTCGCTGCATTGCCGGGAAGCCGGGCAGCCGCCAAACAGCTGTGAGGCGGCTGCACGGTGATGACGTCAGGAAGGGAGCGACAGGACTTTCAGATTGAGCAGCATGTTCCAAGGAAACCCACATAAACCCTTCCCCCTTAAGGGACTGATTTTAATCATTACAGTTAGAGTAAAACACATTAACCATACTTCTGAGTCACATGGGCAGGGTAGGCATTGGGGCAGGGGTGAAATGTAAAATTTGTTACTACTGGTTCTGTGGGCGTGGCTTGGGAGGGTGGGGGGGAATGTGACGGTGGGCGTGGCCAACTTTTTTTTTTTTTTTAACTTTTCAAAGCATTTTTTCTAATGCTTTGAAAAGCCTCTGCCGATCAGGCAACTCAGCTGGGATCATCAGAGAGGCTTTTTAAAAAATGCCTCTCTGCCGATCAGGCAACTCAGCTGGGATCGTCAGAGACTTTTCAAAGCATTTTTTTTTACCACCTCTTCGGCCAAGAGGTTGCAGAAAAAAATGCTTTGAAAAGCCTCTGACGATCCCAGCTGAGCCGCACGATCATCAGAGGCTTTTTTTTTTTTACTTTTAAAAGCATTTTTTCGTAGGAAGAGGTTGTAGAAAAAATGCTTTTAAAAGTTTTTTTTTTAAAAAGCCTCTGATGATCCTGCGGCTCAGCTGGGCATGGTGGGAGTGGGGGGGGCAGGGATTTTTGCTACCGGTTCTCTGAACCACCTGCTGCCATCGCTACCGGATCAGGCAATCTGGTCCAAACCAGGAACATTTCACCCCTGCGTTGGGGATTGGAAAATGAGAGCTGCGTTCACTGATGTATTGTATAAAAGGTAATGAGAATCCAGGGCAGATGCCCTAACAATAATTTCTTTTAAGTGGTCAGTGAGTGCCAGGAATAAAAGGCAACAGCATCAAACCAGGTTTGTTTTGTTTGTTTCCTGTTTTATCGTTCTGGAACCTGACATCTAAATCGTGCAGCACAGCTGTTCCCCACCCCTCGCTGTTCTACTTACCTTGTCAAGTCCTCTTTTTCCACGCAAAGCATGTGTTTGGTGTGCAGTAAGCATTGGCGCGCAGCGTCCTTTTTGTATGCTCTATGAAGGCGTGCGTGCAGCGTGTATTTAGCGCACCCCGTGCATGTACAGGCAGCGAACCGGTGGCAATCTGTGGAGGATTTCACCACTGCCTGAAAGAAGCTGGGTTGTACACAGCCAACGGCAGAGCCGGCTTTCCTGAGTTTTGATCATCCTGTGCCATCTCGTCACTCTTGGAAAACTCTCCACCAGAAAAAATATATATATATTTTTTTGCTAAAGATGAGCCTTGCAGATGGTTTGGATTACTGTACAGCTTTCCTGTGCATTTATTAATCTGTTTTTGGTGGGCAGGGATATCAGACAAGGTCGCTCCAATCATCCGGAGATTACAATTCCTTTTTGTTGCTTTGTTTGACCGAGATCAATTGGGCGATGCCCTTGCTCAGTTTAAACACTTTGTTCTGAGTTCATGTTTAATTCAAAGAGCGACATAGCAATTAGTAGCTTCTGGAGAAAGAACAGAAGGACGTGTATTTGCAACATCAGCTTGGTTGTTGTTGAACAAATGTTCCACTCCACAGAATTTATGATTTTATAAACCTTAAGAACATTTATAAACAATAATATTTGAGAGGGGCATTCTCTTCCCCCACCGCTGGGGATCTGGGCCATGGTTGACCTTTTGGAGAAAAGGAAATGTGGTGAAAAAGTAAATAAATAAATGGAGCAAATAGCAATAGCACTTAGACTTATATACCGCTTTACAGTGCTTTACAGCCCTCTCTAAGCGGTTTACAGAGTCAGCATATGGCCCCCAGCAAGCTGGGTCCTCATTTTACCCACCTCGGAAGGAAGGCTGAATCAAGCTTGAGCCAGTCAGGATCGAACTGCTGGCAGTGGGTGGAAGGAAGGAAGGAAGGAAGGAAGGAAGGAAGGAAGGAAGGAAGGAAGGAAGGAAGGAAGGAAGGAAGGACAATAGCGCTTAGATTTATATACCGCTTCACAGTGCTTTACAGCCCTCTCTAAACGGTTTACAGAATCAGCCTATTGCCCTCAACAATCTGGATCCTCATTTTACCCACCTCGGAAGGATGGAAGGCTGAGTCAACCTTGAGCCTGGTGAGATTTGAACTGCCAAATTGCAGGCAGCCGGCAGTCAGCAGAAGGAGCCTGCAGTACTGCAGTCTAACCACTGCGCCACCATGGCGAAAGAAAATGTGGTGAAAAAGTAAATAAATAAACGGGAGTAAATAAATAAACTGGTTGCTGTTACTCAACCAGTCAAGAGGCCTTAGAGACAAGTATGGTAGGGTAACAGGTGGCCTGCTTCATAGATCTTTCAGATATATTCAGGATGTTGTGTGAATTAAGGTGTCGCTGTTGCTTTAATGTTGTACACCACCCAGAGTTATTGCTGCGAGATGCTGTTCTCGTCCTACGTTCCATATCCCACTGCTGATATGGAGGCCCTAGAAATGCACATACGCACCCACCCACACAACAAACAAACAAATAAATATCAAGATGGACCTATTGTGCCTGGAACAAGCTGGGTGGCCCTTAGCTTCAAAGTGATTGTTGTGAAGGGCAGACAATCTCTTCTTGGGTGTGTATTTCAGCCTCGGGACTCTCCTTACTTACTCCCACGGTATGCTAACTATTGTTCTTTTTTTTTCTTCTTCTTTGTTGCCAGGGTGAGCGTATCTGCCTCGTCCGTAGGGTAGACGAGAACTGGTATGAAGGTCGCATCTCTGGCACAAACCGCCAGGGTATTTTCCCAGCCAACTATGTCCAGGTGGTGAAAGAGCCAAGAGTGAAGAATTCGGATGAATATCCTTCCTCTCCAGGCCTCCCAACCCATGCCAGCTCATCCCCCCAGGCACATACATCCAGTCTGGGCAGTAGGTGGCAGTCTGAGACTTCCCCTTCAAGCCTGCCAAGCGCCCTGGCACCAGACCTGCTCTCCTCCTCTTCCTCCTTCTCCTCCTCTGCCCCCTCTGGATTCACATTTCCCGTGTCTCCAAAATTTGAAAACCCTGAGACCCCGACTCACAGAATCCAGGATGCACCCAGAGCTGGCTCTTTCAGTCCCCAGAGTCAAAGCCCAGGGAAAATGTCCGGTGGTAGCCCGCAGCCTCTCACGTCTGTCCAAATGAAGGACCCACCACGACCTCTTCCTCCTGTATTGACTTCCCAACCACGGACTTCCATTCCGCCGCAGGTGAGATGCTGTTCTTTCCTCCCCCCCCACCTTCACATTTCTCATGTCTGGTGTAAGAGACCGAGCATAATTTCTTACCCCGGGGCTTAAATATAATAAGGAGCTACTTTCTGGCCTGTGTCTGTCCTTTTAATTGTGGGCAGTCGCTTAGCATCCTCCTCTGAATTACAAAAGCAGTCTTGCTGCTTTCATAACGTGGGGCGTGCATGCCAAATAACGATGCAAATTTTTTTTTTAAAAAGGGGATGAGGCTGGCACGGTGCCACGGTGCCACTGGCTGGCATCCCTCTTGAGTTTTCTTGATCCCTTCTCTGCGGATCCCACCGTCGCAGGTTTAATTCATGGCAATGGTGGACATTTCCTTGATACAGCATCACTTTAGACCAGGGGTATAAAAAACTCGATTTCAGCAGGGTTGTGTTTGACCTGAGGGGGAGGGCAGGGGGGGCATGGCCAGCTCGACATCATTCCTGTCGGGGCACCTGTGGTGACCTGAGCGCTCTTGCCAGCGAAAACGGGTTCCCGAGTTCCGTTTTTGGCTGCCAAGGCCTCCTGTAAACCTCTGCCAGTGAAAACGGAGCTCTGCCATTTTCACTGGCAGAGGGTTGCAGGAGTCCCTGGCAGCTGAAAATGGAGCTTGGGAGCCCATTTTAGCTGGCAGAAGCACCGCGACCGATCCTTTACTGTTTCCAGGGCGGCCACTTCTAAGTAACCCCCAGGCCAAGGTGAAATCCAGCAGGTTCTCACAAGTTCTGGAGAACCGGTAGCGGAAATTTTGAGCGGTTCAGCGAACCAGTAGCGGAAATTTTGAGTAGTTTGGAGAACCGGCAAATACCACAATACCGCTTGCGGCCCTCCCGAGCTCCGTTTTCACTGGCAGAGGATTGCAGGAGGCCCTGGAAGCCAAAAACGGAACTCGGGAGCCCGTTTTTGCCGGCAGAAGCATCACGGGCCAGTCCTTTGCTGTTTCCAGAGCAGCCCCGTGGGCCAGATCTAAGTACCCCATAGGCCAGGCCCCGGGTCTTGAGTTTGACACCTCTGCTTTCGACCCTGTGAGAAATTAATATCCTGTGCTAAGCCAATCCGGAAAAGATTCTAGTTCTGCTTTGAAATGACTAATGGAAACTAGAAGGATACTCGTGCTTAATATAGTCCTCAACGTACAACCACAATGGAGCGCAAAATTTCTCTGGTGAAGTGAGACCGTCGTGCAGTGAGCTTTGCCTCGTTTTACGACTTTTCTTGCCGCAGTTGTTTAAGGGAATCACTGCACTTGTTAAGTTAGTAACACGATTGTTAAATAAATCTGGCTTCCTCATTGACTTGGCTTGTCAGAAGGTTGCAGAAAGTGATTTCCTGACCCCAGCAGTGGTGGGTTCCTCCCGGTTCGGTCCGGTTCGGCCGAGCCGGTAGCTGTGATGATATGACGTCACCGAACCAGTTCTCCCCCCCGCCCTCGCACCCCCCACGTTATTCTTACCTTTTATTTGGTCCCACCCCCAATCTATTGCTGCCTCCTGAGTCCCAGCTGATGACTAGAGGGAAAAAAACTGTTTAAACTCTTGCCGCGGGGCTTCAAAGGGCCGCCCTACAGCTGATCAGTGTTAAAAAGAAACAAATGAGTTGGGTTGTAAGTGCGAGGACTGGTTGTAAGTGTGAGGACCTTCCAGAAATGACTCTGACCAGCTAGCCACGCCCACCTAGTCACATGACCTCCAAGCCACACCCACAAAATAAGCCACGCCCACAGAACCAGTAGTAAAAAAATTTAGAACCCACCCCAGGATACGGCGACGGTCATAAAAATGGGACAAGTGTCTGAATTTTGATCACGTGACCTCAATTCTGAAGAAGTGCCCTTTACGGAACTGAAGAAGCTTCTTGGATGAGAAGCGAAATGTCTTCAAGGAAAACCTTGACACTTCGAAAAAGCATTTTTGGGACCTTAGTGGGGTCTTCCAGTAGCTTGACAAAGCCAAGCATTTGTACCCCAACCCTGATGAGTTTCTTTTGATTCAGTCCTTTGCTTCTGGTTTAGAGACAACTCAAAATGAATATTTCTGTATTTCCAGTTTTTAAAACCCACCCCTTCAAAGGCGCTGTGCGGTTTACAACAAATGCAAGGGTATAAAAAGGAACACATTAAAAATGACAAATATGGGGGGGTCTGAATAACTGAACTGCTCACAGAAAGTCTAGACACGATTTCAGAACATCAATTGAGGAAAACCGGATCCCCCTTCCATTTCCTTGCACCTATAATGGATGTGCCTTAGTTTCCACAAAAGCCCAACTTGGTTAGACAATTAACAAATAAAGAGTTGCTGAAGTTATTAATAAGATGAAGTTATTAAGAAAATTATGGAATGTGCTGAAATGAGTAAATTGACATTTGAAATTCGAGAACAGGAAGATAATATTATTTGATATGGGATCTGTTTTATCAATGGCTAGATAATAAGGCATGGAAATGAAGTATGAAATATGAAATTAATGTGACGATAAAATATACGAAGGGATTTCTTAAGGGAGTTAAGCCTTTGTTAAATAATTGTTAAATTATTTGAACAATAATTTAATGGGCTGTCCTGATTTTATGGTTGGTTTTAAAATTGATATTGATTTTAATTGAAATGTTTTAAATTATGGGCCAAATTTTATTTAATTATTTTAAATCTATTTTAACTTTTGGGTATGAATGTTTTATATTTGGCTGTTCACCGCCCTGAGTCCGAAAGGAGAAGGGCAGTATAGAAATCTGAAAAAATAAAAATAAAAATGAGAATAATGATATAAAGGGATATATAAAATTGTTAAATAAGAGAAATTAAATAACTTGTAAATGTTGGATATGGGATTAAGCACAAAAGAATTTTAACCGATCGACACACTTTCTGTGATTGTAATGGATGATGGTTGTTTTATGTTTTGTCATGTTTAAAAATAAAAATTAAAAAAACAACAACTGAAGAGTTGCTAACATTTAAAGGCAAAGTCTATACCGTGTTTCCCCAAAAATAAGACCCTGTTTTATATTTTTTTGATTCCTGAAATAAGCGCTTGGCCTTATTGCCATGCGCTCAAAAGCCTGATTGGGCTTATTATCAGGGGATGTTTTATTTTGGGGGAAATAAACTGATCCGTTTGGGGGTACACTGGTATAATTTTAAATCGTTTTTTAATTGGGTTACTGATTTTAATTTGGTATTGTATTGTGATTTGTATTGAAGTTGTCATTTTGTAAGCCGCCTTGAGTCCCTAGGGAGAAAGGCGGCATATAAATCGAAATAAATAAATAAATAAATAAATAAATAAATAAATAAATAAATAAATAAATAGGAAAAAAAAACATAAACAGCATTACAATCTTTAATGCCCAAGACACCGAATCCCAATTGTACTAAACCTGGAAGGATATATACACAATATAGTAATAAGGCGGGAGCCATGTTGTGTGAACAAAATATTTCAAACGTGAACTTGTAACTGGAGTAAAATGAAAAGAATTAAATAGTGGTTTTTTTAAAAAAAGGAACAAAATGTTCCAATTTCACCTCCGCTAACATCATCTGCAGTTCTCAGTGCATTTTGGTCTGGTCATTGGCAGGCAAATCTTACACGACACAGAAATAAAGATAATTTATGATCACAAATATTTGGTATATGCAGAGCTATTCATTTCATGCTGTTTCTTCTGATTATCATGTTTGTGGCACTTGTGATAAACAAAATGTATTGTGATTTCTAGCAGGATTTTCACCCTTCTAGGAATTAGCAAACATTTTCATCTATTTTCTTTCTGGGCCGTTTATAAGGGCCGTTTTGTCCTCTGTTGCTTCTCCAAAAACATAGTGAATTTAGAACATTTAGTGACCATTCAAAGGCATTGAAAAATGTGGCGGCTTGCGACCATTTTTAGCACTTACAACCGCGGTAGCATCCCCACGGTCACGGGGTCAAAATTCGGACGATTAGCAGCTGACTCTTATTTATGACCGTCGCAGTGTCAGGTGATCCCCTTTTGCGACCGTCCGACAAACAAAAGTCAGTGGGGAAGCCTGGTTTACTTGACAATCGTGTTACTCACTTAATAACTGCAGTGATTCACTTAACAAAGGCAGCAAGGAAGGTCGTACAATGGGGCAAAACTCACTTAACAACGGTCTTCCTTAGCAACAGAAAGGTTGGGCTTGATTGCAGTAGTGGGTTTCACTAACCTTCGCTACCGGTTCGGAACTGTGAGCGTGCAGCGCTTCTGCGCAGAGTGTCCGTGATGACATCCAGGTAAGTGGCGGAGCCTCCTGCCACCGCCGCTACCAGTTTTCCCGAACCGGGGCGAACTGGTAGAAACCCACCACTCTGATTGTGGTCGTAAGTCCAGGACTACCTGTATTCTGCGTTGAATTTTCCTGGGCACTTCTGCCAGGATTTAGGTAAATTTTCTTTTCCTCCCACCTGTGTTTATTACTTTCCGGTATGCCGTGTTCTCATCGCCCTTCCTTTTTCTTGCTCTTGTGACTGCAGAATTCCACCCTCGAGACAGTGTTTTCCCCAACTTCAAAGCCGCAGAGCCCCCCGCACGCCGCCAGAGACTCCCCCTCCGGCATCCAGTGGACTCCGTAAGTCAGGCAGATTCGCAGTGGCGGGGAAGGGAGAGCTGGGCTCCTGCTGGCAGCTGGCCAGCTCCACCATCCCTGTGTGAAGTGACCCATAAAAGAGGGGAGGAAGGAGGAGGGGGGCTGTAGACAACCCCGCCCCCCCCCCAGAGTGCCAGGCTTGGACAGTGTCTGGATTGTTCAAAACAAGGGGCCTTTTTCAGAGGGGCCTGTTCACCGCCTAGGGGGACAGAAGCCGCCGGCTGCTTCACCGGTGCCAAGCATTGCAAATGCCTGCTGGAAAGGCTGAGGACAGCTCAAGGTTTCCGAGCTGCAGGGTGTATGTCTCTCCACCTCTTTCCCCCCCACCCCAAATATTTGGGGAGTGGGGGGAGCAGGCAGATTGCTTGCCTTTGCACATTTCTTTTCCACGCATGAAACATCTCTCGTCTGTCCTGCGTGCAGAAGGGACTTAAAAGTTTATTTCCCTTAGGAAAAAGTCTGTAGAGATTCTCAGCCATCCAGGTCGTAGTTGTCCCAAAGGTGCCTTTTTCAGCTGGATTTTCTGTTTTTTTTCTCATCCAAGAAGCTTCTTCAGCTCTGACACGATAGTGGGGAATGGAAGGATTTATATTCCTTGCAGACAGCTGGTCCTTTGCGTTCGTTTAGAGGGTCACTGAGTGGTGGCTCGGTGGCTAAGACGCTGAGCTTGTCGATCGAAAGGTCGGCAGTTCAGCGGTTCGAATCCCTAGTGCCGCATAACAGGGTGAGCTCCTGTTACTTGTCCCAGCTTCTGCCAACCTAGCAGTTCAAAAGCAGGTAAAAAATGCAAGTAGAAAAATAGGGACCACCTTTGGTGGGAAGGGAACAGCATTCCGTGCACTTTTGGCGTTGAGTCATGGCGGCCACATGACCACGGAGACGTCTTCGGACAGCGCTGGCTCTTCGGCTTTGAAACGGAGATGAGCACTGCCCCCTAGAGTCGGGAACGACTAGCACATATGTGCGAGGGGAACCTTTACCTTTACTAGAGGGTCCTTGAAGCACTTGGAGGTTTATCTGTGTCCTCAGGGTCACCTGAGTAGTGTTCAGATGACTAGTTGTCTGCAAGGAATATAACTCCTTCCATTCCCCACCATCCAGTCAGAACTGGAGAAGCTTCTTGGATGAGAAGCGAAATGCCTTCAAAGAAAAAACAAGGAAGTCCAGTTGCCTCCTGAAAAGACATCTTTGGGATTCCCTTAGGAGAAAAAAAATATGTTTTAATTGGAGTATACGGAAAAACTACACAGGTAGTTCTTGACTTATGACCATAATTTCGTAAGTCGTGATGGTCGTAAAGCAGGTCATGACTGACTCCATTTTACGATCTTTTCTTTTTTCATGGTAATCATTAAAATGAGCACTGCAGTTGTCAATCACCAAAATGCAGCCACGTGACCGTTGGGGTGGAAGGATGGCTATCAGAACTTCAGAATTGGGTTGTAAGTACAGTGGTACCTTAGTACTCATTGTTAATTCGGAAGGCATGATGAGTACCAGAAGTGAAGAGTACGAAACAAATATTTCCCATAAGGAATAATGTGGTGAGTCATAAGGCAGTCGACACCAACAAGTTCTAGCTTGTGTCGAGTACTAAACAAACGATGAGTACCGGGAACAATATTTTCACATCAAAACGTGCTGAGTACCAAATTCGATGAGTTTCGAAGCAGTTGAGTACCGAGGTATCGCTGTACTTTTTTTTTTTTTTTTTTTTTTAAAAAAAAATTTTTTTATTTTTTGACACACACACAGACAGACACACATACAATGTATTTTTTCTGAACAAAGTATTGGCCGGTTCACAAATTTAAACAATTTTTAGTCATTTCAACACAATTTATACAATATATTCCCTTTTTGCCATAGTATTTATTCTCTCTATTTTTCTTTCTCTCTCTCTCTTTTTTAAAATCAATATTACCCATTCATCCTAATTCTAATCTTAACTAAATTCCATTTTTTCCTTCATCTCTATATTAAACCAGTGGTGAAATGTAAAATTTGTTACTACCGGTTTTGTGGGCGTGGCTTGGTGGTGGTGGTAATATGACTGAGTGGGCGTGGCCAACTTTTAAAACCATTTTTTCTACAACCTCTTCAGCTGAAGAGGTTGTAAAAAAATGCTTTTAAAAGCCTCTGACGATCCCAGCTGACTTGCCTGATTGGCAGAGGCTTTTCTTCTTTTTTTAAAAAGCCTCTGACGATCCCAGCTGACTTGCCTGATCAGCAGAGGCTTTATTTTTACTTTTAAAAGCATTTTTTTCGGCCGAAGAGGTTGTAGAAAAAATGCTTTTAAAAATATTTTAAAAAAAGCCTCTGATGATCGTGCGGCTCAGCTGGGCATGGGGGTGGGGAAGGATTTTTGCTAGCGGTTCTCCGAACCACCCACCACCATCGCTACCAGATCAGGCGAACCGGTCTAAACCGGGAGTATTTCACCCCTGTATTAAACCCCTTAAATTTGAAATCTCATTTAACATAATTCCTAATATTACAATCATTCATTTCATACCAAGGTAATAAACATTTTATACCATACATTTCCTTAAGTCTTATTTAAGGAATAATACAAAAGTATTGCTATACTTTTGGGGAAGGGAGTTTCTGTTGTAGTTCGAATGGTCCCTGAGCAACCTGTCATCAGTTAAGGACTACTCGTACGCTGTTCAATAAATGAGGAGGAGACGTCCTCATCCATAGCTTGTGTGTTCCAGGTACCAGGCCATCTACCAGTACCGACCTCAGAATGAAGATGAGTTGGAACTTCAGGAAGGTGACCGAGTAGATGTTATGCAACAGTGTGACGATGGCTGGTTTGTGGGTAGGTCAAGATTTGTGTTGACGGGCACTTCAAAGCAGGGCAGGTTTTAGTAACTTGCAATTTCTTCCACACCTTGAGTTGCCTTTGGACTCGGAGGCTGCCCTCCCGAAGGAGTGGGCAGGACTGGCATAAAATCTACATTTGATTTACATTCCAGTTTGATTAAATGTAGGCATAATGCATATGGTTTATCCTCCAGCGGTGTGTTAACATCTGAGGGTTTCTAAGGGCTGCATCCAAGGCTTTTGAGGTCTACACAGATCCTGTAGCCTCAAGTGAGGCACCACTGCCTTGGTGGCGCAGCAGACTAAAGTGCTGTTAACTAGCACCAGCTGCCTGCAATTACTGCAAGTTCGAATCCCACCAGGCTCAAGGTTGACTCAGCCTTCCGTCCTTTTGAGGTAGGTAAAATGAGGACCCGGATTGTGGGGGCAATAAGCTGACTTTGTACAAAAAAAGAACACCGCTTAGGAGGGGGCCGAAAGCCCTACTAAGCAGGTATATACAAAAAGTAGGAAGGCTATTGCTTAACGCATTGTAAGCCACCCTGAGTCTCCGGAGAAGGGCGGCATATAAATCGATCCAATAAATAAATAAATAAATAAACAGAAAAGTGAAGTTGGAAGGGACCTTGGAGGTCTTCTAGTCCAACCCTATTGCTCAAGGAGGAAACCCTATATCAGTGATGGCTAACCTTTTTGCCGTCGCGTGCCAAAAGGGGGGGAATGTGGGGGGGTTGCGCGCGCGCATGCCCACACCCGTAATTCAATGCCCACCCCGCACCCCCACACATGCGTGCATGACCCCCCCCCATGCTCCCCCCACTTTTGACACGCGATAGCAAAAAAGTTACCGGTGGGCCCGGTAGGCCCGTTTTTCACCCTCCCCAGGCTCCAGAGGCTTTCTTGGAGCCTGGGGGGGGCCAAAACAGCCTTCCCCACCCAACCCCCCGGAGGCCCTCTGGAGGCCGGAAATGGCCCGTTTCCTGACTTCTGGTTGGCCCGGAAGGCCCGAAAATCAGCTGGCTGGTGCATACATGCACGCTGGAGCTGAGCTAGGGCAACAGTCATGTGCCCACAGATATGGCTCCACGTGCCACCTGTGGCACGCGTGCCATAGGTTCACCATCACGGCCCTGTACCATTTCAGACAAAAGGTTGACCAATCTCTTCTTAAAAACCTCCAGTGTTGGAGGTGGAGAAGATCTAAGGTAGACCTTTGAAGGCATGCCACTGGGCAACTTTGCATTTAGTTTTAATTGAAGGCATCTGAAGAATAGTATTAATTCTTATTTTTTATTATTCATATTGCTATGCCGCCCACTCTCCGAGGACTCTGGGCAGCTTACACCAAAGACAGTATATTAAGTAGCATATTGCCCCCAACAATCTGGGTCCTCATTTTACCCACCTCGGAAGGATGGAAGGCTGAGTCAACCTTGAGCCGGTGAGATTTGATCTGCTGATCTGCTGAACTAGCAGTCAGCTGAAGTAGCTGCAGTACTGCACTCTAACCACTGTGCCACCTCGGCTCATTAAAAGATAGGCGTGGTAAGTAGTATTAAGTGACAGTCTCCAAAAGAGAAAGTTGTAAACAAACTGGTGCTCCTCATTACTGGGCTGCCTATTCCTGATCCAGGATCTGAATGAATGGAGAAGATCTCCTGCCATCTGGATCATGCCCTGACAGAAAACCACTCAAACAGATTCTATTATTTACTTACCATATGGCATCTACAGAGGCCATGCGATCACTCATATTGAGGTTGACTCAGCCTTCCATCCTTTCGAGGTAGGTAAAATGAGGACCTGGATTGTGGGGGCAATAAACTGACTTTGTATAAAAAAGAACACCGCTTAGGGGTTAAAGAAATAAAGGGAGACTAGTATATATCTATTTCAAGCTATTTAGCTCTCATCAGCTAGCCATACCCTTACTCGGATTCGAGTATTATTTTATTTCTTTATCAGCAAAATATAAATTTGGTATAAAATGGTTTGTCGTAAATGCGACTGCTTGAGGGCTCCTGGATTGGAGCTGAAAGGCGAAAGGGAAGCAGTATGCTCCCTCCCATATTGGGGTAGATCAGGTGTTTCGATAGAAAAACACTTAATCTCTCCCCTGGCTCAAGCTGATAAAGGGAGGAGAACTTGTGGCTCTGAGGTTAATACAACTGCAGGCAGTTAATACAATATGCAGGCAGCCCAAGTTCGAATCCGAGTAAGGGTATGGCTAGCTGATGAGAGCTAAATAGCTTGAAATAGATCTATACTATAGTACCAGTATATGGGCTATATAGATGGAGAGAGGAGTATTGCCAAAAACTTTGAAGCTGGGGCACAAGAGGTAGCAGAGTAAAATATTATCTTCTTTAGAGATTTCTTTTTTTTTTTTTAATTTCAAGTGGCCGGTCCAGAATCTTCCAAGGAAAAAAAACCCTCTGAACCTTGAACTTCTATTCTCTCTTCATGGGTCTCTTTTGCATTTTTTCCCCCCTGCACTAGGGGTCTCCAGAAGGACACAGAAATTTGGCACTTTCCCTGGGAATTACGTTGCTCCCGTGTGACCAGCAGCCTCCCCCACGCAACTGAATCAGAATCTTCTGCTCCTAGGATCTTGCCTTCTTGGAGAAGTGCCCAACGGTCAACGGACACGAAAAGAAAGAGTAAAAGACATGGTCTGAAAACTAATATTGGGCCCCCCCAAGATATGTCTTGTTTGCCAGCTGGAGTTTGTATTCCTTGACTTGTTATCTTTCATTTCTGCACCTTGGCTTCCTCGGAGAAGACGATTACAACCTAAGTTTCTTTTCCCAGGATTTATGAAGTATCTGTTCTGCCCCAGCTCCAGATTTCCGAGGATATTGACACACACCAACGGTCCTTATCAAATTTATTAAGTAACAAGAATAAACAAGACAGGCAAAGGTTGGCAACCAGCCCAGAAAACAAGATATGATAAACCAAAATACGCTGATAATAATACAAGTTGTTTCCAGCAAGAACGCACTAGCTGTGTGCGACTTAAATAGACTAAGGGAGTGGCCAATTATCCTCAAGCCCTACTCTCGAGTAGACCTCCTCCTCCTGAGTAGCCACTCCTCCTTTTGGCAGCCCTGCGCGCCCGAGCATTGAGGAGAGGCTCCTCCACTTCACTCTCTCCACTTGAAGGAACCTCTGGAGGTTCTGAAGGCCCTGGCTGAGTCTCTGCCTCTGGCACCACATCCTCTTCGGCCTCCTCGCTGTCCGACGCGAGCGCTGGCTGTGCAGGCTGCTGGCGCGACACCACACCAGCCTCCTCTTCATCGGGATCAGCCACGATCCGCGCAGGCCGCTGGCGGGCCACAACAGCATCACTAATTTCAGCATCCCCATGCCAGATGTGGGTTGAACAGAGTGGACTGTACCAGCCTCTTGTTTCTCTTAATCTGGGATCCCATATTTTTGCCAGTTCTTATAACAGCATTGGAAGGTGAAGATGAGCAGTCCTGTTGAGTCTACACTAGTTCTTCCCTCCAGAAAAATCCATTTTTTTCTTGAAAGTACCATTGTTGGAAGACTTGCCCTATAACCAAAAATCTCACACAACGAATGAGCTGACCAGGTTACCTGAATATACAACTTCGGGTGTGTGCCTCATAGGAATCTCTGGGCCTTTCCACCAGGAGATTGTGCCCTTTATTTTAATGTCCGTGACTGAGATTCTCAGTCATCCGAAGTCATGGGTTGTCCCCTTTCAAAAGACAAATGGACTTTCTTGGGGGGTTTTTTTGTTCCCCCTTGAAGACGTTTTGCTTTTTCCTCCATGAAGCTTCTTCAGTTCTGACTGAATTTACTCAATACAGGCAGATAAGATGGAGGGTTTAACCAGCGTTAACATTTTTGTATCTTGCCTAACCTCTCTCAAAACTGCTCAGCAACTTCAGCAAGCTTTGTGGCTGATCTTTGATCTAAAGAACTCTTCCATACAAAGACTCGTGTAGGACTTTGATCTAAATAATAACTTAACAGCCGTCCCCTTTCATGTTCAACCCTCCAGGCGGGATGCACTTTCGGTGGTTTTGGGTTGACACAAGCTAAGAGCAATCGGCTGAAGAGTGAAGAGAATACTTGGGGCTGTTCCTGAGTGAGCTATCCTTCCCTTCCTGCTTGAAAAGTTCAATCAAAACTTGAGTACAGGTAGTCCTTGACTTACGACTGCAAAATTACGAGCCCAAAATTTCTTATTGCTAATGAGAGAAAGTTGTTAAGTGAAAGTTTTGCCCCATGTCACGACACCTTTCTTGCCACTGCAGTTAGTAACACGGTGGTTCGGCAAATCTGGCTTCCCCGTTGACTTCGCTTGTCGGAAGGTCGCAAAGGGGTCACATGCAGTGGTGGGATTCTACTGGTTCAGACCGGTTCTGGCGAACCGGTAACTCCGATGATCAGCTAAGAACAAACCGGTTCGTCCCAACAATCGGATCCACCCACCCACGCTATTTTCCTACCTTTATCTCCAGTAGTGATGGCGGCGGGTGGTTCGAAGAACCATTAGCAAAAATCCTTGCCCCCCCCTCCATGCCGAGCTGAGCTGCACGATCATAAGAGGCTTTTTTTTTTACTTTTAAAAGCATTTTCAGCTGGGATCCAGCTTTTTTCTGGATTTTCTTTTTTCTCAGCTGGGATCAGAGCCTTTTAAAAGCATTTTTTTCTGCAATCTCTTCAGCCGAAAAATGTTTTAAAAGGCTCTGAGGATTCCAGGTGAGTTGCCTGATCGTCAGAGCCTTTTAAAAGCATTTTTAACAACCTCTTTGGCTGAAAAAAAATGCTTTTAAAAGTAAAAAAAAAAAAAGCCTCTGATGATCGCGCGGCTCAGCTTGGATCGTCAGAGCCTTTTAAGAGCATTTTTTTCTACAACCTGGAGGTTGTAGGAAAAAATGCTTTTAAAAGAAAAAAAAAAAAGTTGGCCACTCCCACCCAGTCACATTACCCCTCCCCACCAAGCCACGCCCACAGAACCGGTAGTAAGAAATTTTCCATTTCACCACCGCTTTATCTCCTTAGCTGATTCGCGCGGCAGATCCGATTGCCATGCGAATCAGCTGTGTTACTCCTCTGAAGAAATCCGGAAGTGAAGATTTCTTCACAGCATCAGGCACGCGATCACCGAACCGGCTGTCAACCCGGGAGGATCCCACCACTGGTCACATGACCTCGCAATGCAGCCACCATCATATATACAGGAGTCAGTTGCCAAGCGTCTGGATTTTGATCATGTGATCATGAGGACGTGGCAATGAAAAACTGTCATAAGTCACTTTTTTTCAGTGCCATTGTAACTTCGGAGGGTCACTCAATGAACTGTTGTAAGTTGAAGACTACCTGTATTCACGATAAGGAATGAAAATATTGTTCCCGATGATGCTCGCCTCATATTAAAAAGAGCACCAGCAATTCCTTCTTCTCAATTTTTCATTAAGGTCCATGTTGTTCCCAAAATCTTCTCCAAAATCTTGTTCCCGTCTCCAGAAGCAGAAGAAAAGGACCAAAAACATTGTTGGTGGCATCTCCTTGTCATAGATAATTGTGGTCTCCATACCAGATGTTTCTTATTTTCGGTCTTTGTCTCCCAGCTCTTCCCAATCCAGTGATTTCTTTCACCTCTAGAGACAGCAGCCAAGATCCAGGAAACATCTAGAGATGGATATTTCTCCAAGCCCCTTTTGCTCAAATTACATCCTGATGGATGCAAAGTTGTGATAAAAAGGAAGGGATGGAGATGGTTTGTGTGTCAGGATACTGAGACATTTATGCCTCCTGCAGCCTCAGTGTCCTTTCGCAGTGCTGTTGCGTGGATAGACACAAACTCATGTCAAAACTTGCACATTGGAGCCAGTCCAATATAAGCCAGTTTCTCTTCCTAGTGTGAACAATAGAAATTGTCCTTTGTGGGTAAGTAACAACCTAGCAGCATCTGGCAGATTTGGGCTCAGCATCCTGCCTCAGTAGACTCTCTTCCTTCAAGCACCTCTTGCTTTTCATCACAATTTTATGCTCAGCTGACGCAAAGTAATAAAAAGGTAAGCTGGCTTTGGACTCTGTATGAATGGTGCTGTAATAATATAACCCTATTCTCAGCTGGTGCACCAATCACCCAGAATCCTGCCTAGCTTACTCAGTGGAGGAAAACCCAGGAGTGAAATCCAGAAGGTTCTGACAGGTTCTGGAGAACTGGGTAGCGGAAATTTTGAGTAGTTCAGAGAACCGGTAGCGGAAATTTTGAGTAGTTCAGAGAACCGGTAGCGGAAATTTTGAGTAGTTCAGAGAACCAGTAGCGGAAATTTTGAGTAGTTCAGAGAACTGGCAAATACCACCTCTGGCTGGCCCCAGAGTGGGGTGGGAATGGAGATTTTGCAATATCCTTCCCCTGCCACGCCCACCAAGCCACACCACGCCCACCAAGCCATGCCCACAGAACCGGTAGTAAAAAAATTTGAATTTTACCACTGGGAAAGCCTGAGTGGGTCTATCAGTCCTGGGAGGGCTGCTCATTTGTGAGGGAGCGACTGAAGTGGCAAGAAGTTTTATCTTGCCCACAATCACAAACGTGTTTCTAAGCAGCCGTTGTTTTTTTTCTGGTTCGAAAGCTACCGATTAAGCCTCTGAAATAAAAATGGGGGGTCCCCGGCCTGGCCATTTTGCAGGATGTTTGTTCTCCTGAAACTGCCTAGCTTCACTAGAGTTGTTCGAAAGGACGTTTTAGTTGTTAATTCTGGAAAAAAGAGGTCCGTATCTACAATTGTCCCTATGGCTTGTCCTGCCAATAAAATCCTCACCGAGCTAAAACTGCCATCCGGTGTGGCGTTTTCTTTTCTTGCCTTTGAATATGCAGAGTCTCACGAGCCCACAAAGACAGGAGCGGTTGTGCCACAGATCCTGAAGAAACCATTGTCTAATGTGGCAGTGCTGGGTCGGAGTTTGGTAGGCTGACCTCTGGTGTACAAAGCCACAGGCAATTCTCTTACACAACATTGCCGCTCCTGTCCATTGCAGTGGCACACTAGAAATCTTCTGCGGAATTGGGGGTGTGTGTCACGGGTGGGTTTTACTTATCGTTACCACTGGTTCTCCACACATGCACTGTCTGCGCATTCGCCCAGCCTTCCGCGCCTTGAAAACGTGCTTAAGTAGCACGACTTGGAGCCGGGGCGGGTGGGCGGACCCACAATCAGCGCTACCGGTTTTCCCGAACCGGTGCAAACCGGCTGAATACCGTCTCTGGTGTGCGTGTTGATTTTTGAAAGACAACACAGCAGAGGTGGGTTTCAGCAGGTTCTGACCAGTTCTGGAAAACCAGTAGCGGAAATTTTGAGTAGTTCATAGAACTGGTAGTAAAAATTCTGACTGGCCCCTGCCCCATCTATTATCTGCCTCCCGAATCCCAGCTGATCGGGAAGAAATGGGGATTTTGCAGTATCCTTCCCCTGGAGTGGGGAAGGAATGGAGATTTTAAAGTATCCTTGCCCTGCCATGCCCACCAAGCCTCGCCCACCAAGCCACATCCACAGAACCAGTAGTAAAAAAATTTGAAACCCACCACTGTAACACAGGTAGCGCTCGGCTTACGATCCTAACTCGGATCAGAATTTCCATTGCTAACCAAGGTCGTTAAGCGAGTCACACCAGATTGTATGACCTTTTTTTGCAGCGTTGGTTAAGCCAATCCCTGCAGTTGTTAAGTGAATCATGCCATCGTTAAACAAATCCGGTTTCCCCCATTGACTTTGCCTGTTGGAAGCCATCTGGGAAGGTTGCAAATGACGATCGCAGGACCCCAGAATTTTGCAACCAATATAAATGCTTGCCTGTTGCCAAGAGCCCAAATTTTGATCATGCGACTTTGGGGATGTCATGAGAGTCGTTAAATGCAAGAACCGGTTGTAAGTCACTTTTTTCCCCCTGTGCTGTTCACCCGGTTGCGAAACGATTGAGTTGTAAGTTGAGGGCTACTTGTAAACCAGATTCCCTATGTCAGGGGCCAGCATGAAATTTCTCTTCACCAGGGCAGGGGTGTCAAATTCGAATTCATTGAGGGCTGCATCAGGGTAAGTGGTGAAATCCAGCCGGATCTATCCGGTCCGTGCAAACCAAAGAGCCTTGGTACTACAGGGGTTTAAGGCACCCTGTTATTAAGCTTATTAAGACCAGCTGCCTGCAATTACTGCAGGGTTCGAATCTCGCCAAGGCTCAAGGTTGACTCAGCCTTCCATCCTTTCTAAGGTAGGTGAAATGAGGACCCAGTTTGTGGGGCAATAAGCTGACTTTGTATAAATATACAAAAGGATGAAGGCTATTGCTGAGCACATTGTAAGCCGCCCTGAGTCTTCGGAGAAGGGCGGCATATAAATCAAATTAAAAAAAACAAAACAAAACAAAACCGATAGCGCCGGTGGTAGGGGGCTCCGCCCACCCGCCGGGACATCATTACGTCCCGTTTTTGACCCTCTGAAGAGGTGCACGTGCTCACACTCTCGAACTGGTAGCGAAGGTAAGTACATTTCACTGCTGATCGGGGTTGTGTTTGACTTGGGGGGGGCTGGAGTGGCCAGGGGGGGCATGACCAGCTCAATGTCACTGTCAGGGGCACCTGAGTGCTCTGCCAGGGAAAGCGGGCTCCAGAGCTCCGTTTTCGGCTGGGACGGCCTCCTGCAACCCTCTGCCAGTGGCCGGTTTATTTGCCGGTTCTCCAAACCGCTCAAAATTTCCGCTACTGGTTCTCCAAACCGCTCAAAATTTCCGCTACCGGTTCTCCAGAACCTGTCAGAACCTGCTGGATTTCACCCTTGCCGGGGGGGGGTACTTAGAACTGGCCGCCCTGGAAACAGTAAAGGATCGGCCGCGGTGCTTCTGCCAGCTAAAATGGGCTCCCAAGCTCCATTTTCAGCTGCCAGGGACTCCTGCAACCCTCTGCCAGTGGAAATGGCAGAGCTCCGTTTTCACTGGCAGAGGTTTGCAGGAGGCCTTGGCAGCCAAAAACGGAACTCGGGAACCCGTTTTCGCTGGCAAGAGCGCTCAGGCCACCACAGGTGCCCCCGACAGGAATGACGTCGAGCTGGCCATGCCCCCCCCCGCGCCCCCTCCAGGTCAAACACAACCCTGCTGAAATCGAGTTTTTTATACCCCTGGTCTAAAGTGATGCTGTATCAAGGAAATGTCCGCCATTGCCATGAATTAAACCTGCGACCGTGGGATCCGCAGAGAAGGGATCAAGAAAACTCAAGAGGCCGTATGCGGCCCTCCCGAGCTCCGTTTTCACTGGCAGAGGGTTGCAGGAGGCCATCCCAGCCGAAAACGGAGATTGGGAGCCTGCTTTTCCTGGCAGAGGCATCACGGGCTGGTCTTCGCTGTTTCCAAGGGCAGCTCCGCGGGCCATATCTAAGTGCCCCACGGGCCAGATCTCGCCCTGGGCCTTGAGTTTGAAACCCCTGCATTAAGGGTTTGAGACAGGAGGGCTGAAATATCCTTATCAACAAGGGGCCAAGCCCAAATCTCTGCCCTTGGATCTTTGAAAGCCGTTCAAGGAGAAGGCTCTATCGAGTCTTGAACACTGTCTGCAGGTTTTTCAGATCAAACTGCCGCATTATCTCCCAAGGATGACCAAACATGTCTTTTGCACAGTCAACAGGGCTGTTCGATCCAGGGAAGCAGAAATTCGGCCACCCAAGGTAACATGAATATTGAAGTTAAAAACAAGAGCCTAGAACGATCACTGTAATTTATTTGGACTCCTGCCCCCCCACTTTTGTCCTGTTTCTAGCGTACAATACTGCAGAGAAACACAATCATGGAAAAACGAATTGTGCTGTGAAAGAAATTAAACAGGGACAGGTAAACGTGGAAAGAGGAAAGGGGGAAATCAGTATTTATATTTATGTTAGGATAGGATAGGATAGGATAGGATAGGATAGGATAGGATAGGATAGGATAGGATAGGATAGGATAGGATAGGATAGGATAGGAGCCTGGATAGCTCTGCAGACTAAAAGCACTGTAATTTAACACCACCTGTCTGCAATTAAAGTAAGTTCGAATCTCGCCAAGGCTCAAGGTTGACTCAGCCTTCCATCCTTTCTAAGGTAGATAAATTGAGGACCCAGTTTGTGGGGGCAATAAGCTGACTTTGTATAAAATATACAAAAGCATGAAGGCTATTGCTTAACGCACTGTAAGCCGCCCTGAGTCTCCGGAGAACGGCGGCATATAAATCAAAATTTTAAATTAAAAAAAAAAATAGTAGAATAGAGTAGAGTAGAGTAGAGGAATAGAATAGAATAGAATAGAACAGAACAGATTACTGTAAAAGTGAAAGCAGTTGAGTTCTCTTGCTCTCTTTAAATGGAGACATCTTTGCTTTGATGTGTAGATACTCCATGTTTGCGGCTGTGATTGTGTTGACATATACGCAATGGATAAAGTTTTATCAAGAGTTCAACCTTTGGAATCGGATCCTTGCTTCTTTCAAATGGAAAGCTCCAACTTTAAGCATTCTTCCTTGGGGGAAAAAAAAATCTCATTAAAAACAGCAGATCTTTTTTAAAAATGTTAATATGATCAGCATATACTTTGATTCATTTTTTCCATTTGAAAATTTCAAAGCATTTTAATCCCATTGAAATTTTTAACTTAGCTCTTTCGCCGTCATCAGTTCCGACTGACCTCTCCTGGTTGAAAGTTGGTTCCAGGTTAATTTCCAAACATATATAAACAAACTGTGCAAATGTTAAAGTCCATACACATTTGTTTTCCTACACTTAAAATGCTGCAATGTGATTTATTGTCAGCAGATAAAAATCAGTTTTGCAAAGGACACCGTTAATGTCACTTCAGGTCCTGCATTTGCAATAGGAAAATGGGAGACATCAGCTGGCACTAAAAAAAAAAAAAAACTTGTTATGCTTAGTAGTGAATACTTACACTCTTTTAAAAGGATTTTTTAAAACAAATCCTTTTACCCTCTGAAACTTGTTGACAATTCTAAGTCTGAAGCTTTATGGATTTCAGAGTGAGGGAATGAAACAGCTATAACGAGATTTACACCTTAATTTGTAACACGCGAGCATTTTAGCATTGCAGTAAGTGATTAAATTTAGTAGGAGACAGAATACCTTCTCTGTCCTTTATCTACTTCAATCTTTCAGGTAGTTTCTAAAGGTATATTGCTGAAAATTTACAAGGAAGTAAGGGCCATTAATAACCTGCTAGAATACATTAGTCTTTAAGATGCTGTAAGGTCCTTTGAGGTTAGTGCTACCTACTGACTCAGAAAAGACACATCTTTTGGGAAGATGCTTTTTCAAGAGGCAACTGGGCTTTTTTTGAAGATGTTTCATTTCTCATCCAAGAAGCCTCTTCAGCAATTTTTGGGAAGATGCACAAAATCGGGCAATCTAATTTCTCGTGGTTGCTTTACACAATGTTAGAAGTCTTGTAAGATAAAAATGAATGGAGGACACGTTCGATGAAGGATGAATTTTGCAAGCCAAATATGAGTTTCGAACTTACGGTTTGGCGTCTCGGCGAGACAGTCGGGGAATTAGCGGGCTCCGAAAACCCCGGCTGACGAATCGACTTGCAACAGTTCTTTTAGTGACCATTCAAAGTTACAACGGCAGTGAAAAAAGTGACTTATGGTCGTTTTTCACACTTACAACCATTGCGATATCCCCATGGTCATGTGATTAAAATTCAGACACTTGGCAATTGACTCATATTTATGACGGTTGCAGTGTCCTGGGATCATATGATCCCCTTTTGCGACCTTGTCAAGCAAAATCAACGGGGAAGCCACATTCACTGAACAACTGCGTTACTAACTTAACAGCTGCAGTGATTCACTTAACAACTGTGGTAAGAAAGGTCGTAAAATGGGGCAAAACTCACTTAAGAAATGTCTCACTTAGCAACTTAAATTTTGGGATGAATTGGGCTCCTAAGTCAGAGAACTACCTGTATATAATGGAAAAGAGCTTGTATCCAGAATTGGCACCTGTTCTACAAGGGTCGCGGTGGCTCAGTGGCTAAGACACTGAGCTTGTCGATCAGAAGGTCGGCAGTTCAGTGGTTCGAATCTCTAGTGCTGCGTAACAGGGTGAGCTCCCATTACTTGTCCCAGCTTCTGCCAACCTAGCAGTTCAAAAGCACGTAAAAAATGCAAGTAGAAAAATAGGGACCACCTTTGGTGGGAAGATAACAGTGTTCCGTGCGCCTTTGACGTTGAGTCATGCCGGCCACATGACCACAGAGACGTCTTCGGACAGCGCTGGCTCTTCGGCTTTGAAACGGAGATGAGCATTGCCCCCTAGAGTCAGGAACGACTAGCACATATGTGTGAGGGGAACCTTTACCTTTACTACATGGGAGCCCTCTTCCAATTCCTGGGTTACGCAACCTTCATTGCCCCTTCTTAAGTTTGTTAATCATGTCCAACTTTCATAACAACCAGTCCTTTACATATGTTGGGCTCCAGTTCCTGTTATTCTATGACCAACAGAAATAGTACAGATAGTCCAGTGGTGGGTTGTTCCCGGTTTGGCCGAGCCGGTAGTGGTGACGATGTGACGTCACTGAACCGGTTCTCTTTGGTTGGGAGCTTGGCCCTCCTGCCTGCCTCCGCTTTATTCCTACCTTTATTTCTTGTTTTTTAGCCCAGTTGATAGGCGCGGCAGAGTGGATTACCGCACCTCAGCTGGGCAAAGCCCAAGTTTGGTGCACGTATGAGCAAAGCGAGCATGCGCACAGCGATCGCACGCAAAGCGCGTGCACAGAGAGAACCGGTGATAACACCGGTTGGAACCCACCACTGAGGTGGTCCTTGATTTACTATTTATTAGAATTTGTCAAACAAAAATGAGAACAAGAATAGGAGAATAAAAATACAATGGCAGAGTCGATAGGCACATTACTGCACTTATGCATGCCCCCCCTCTTCTGACCACTTAAATATGAAGTAAGGTCCATGGAAGTCAATTTGTGACTGAAACTGTGAGAATGTGTAGCTGAGACAACTGGATCAGGTAGGGCATTCCAGACTTCGACAATTCTATTACAGAAATCCTATTTTTTACAGTCAAGAGCCGAGATGGCGCAGTGGTTAGGGTGCAGTACTGCAGCTACTTCAGCTGACCGCTAGTTCAGCAGATCAGTGGATCAAATCTAACCGGCTCAAGGCTGACTCAGCCTTCCATCCTTCCGAGGTGGGTAAAATGAGTACCCAGATTGTTAGGGGGCAATATGCTATTTAGTATACTGTCTTTGGTGTAAGCCGCCCAGAGTCCTCGGAGAGTGGGCGGCATAGAAATATGTCTAATAATAAAATAAATAAAAGTTTAGAACGATTTACATTGAGTTTAAAGCGGTTGTTATCACGTGTATTATGGCGATTGAAACAAAAAAAGTCATTTACAGGTAAAACATTACTACGTATAATTTTGTATGCAATACCTAGGTCTGATCGCAAGCGACGTAGTTCTAAATTATCCATACCGAGAATTTTGAGCACTATCGTTCATTTAGCGACCAAAGTTACAGCACTTATGGTCACTGATGACCTTCACAGAAACCCCGCATGATTAGAATTCAGCTGCTTGACAATTGGTGTGTGTTTATGAGTGTTGCAATGTCCCAGAGTCACATTTGCAACCTCCCCAGGCAGCTTCCAATGAGCAAAACCAAAAGGGGAAGTCCGGTTTGTGTAATGACCACATGATTTATTTTAAGTGCAGGGATTCACTTAACTGGCAAACGAAGTCCTAAATTTCGGCACGCCTCAGTGAAGAACCCGTCTTGCTTCACAACAACAACAAAAAAATGGTTCTCAATTGTGGTTGTAATTTGAGGACTACCTGAAGTCTTAATACACCTGGAAAGCCTGCAGTTTGTAGGTTCTGCTTGTCAAAAACTATAACTTTTAGGGTAATAATTTAAGTGCAAGGCTCCCATCAGATGAGCTCTCCCACTCTTAAAGGTAAAGGTTCCCCTCGCACATATGATTTTGGGCTCAATCGTCGATGTAACTGGAGGACTGCCTGTATTAGGATAAATAAGAAACCTGGTTAAACCTTTTTGAGGACTTACACTGCAATAAACCTGCATCCTTCCAGCAGCGTCTTTCCACATTGGCAACTAACCTGGTTAAATTCTTTTGAGGAGTTACATGACAATAAACCTGCATCCTTCCAGCAGCGTTTTACCACCTCGGCAACTAACCTAACGAGCATAGGGGCCCCATACTTATCTGTGTATGTTAACCCTTCGATGCACCCTGTTGTCATATAAATATGGCAACATATTACATTTGACTGCATTTTAAAAATTAAAACTAACATGCATTAATAGAAATCAGCACCGATAACACTGATAAATATACGTTTAATTTTATCAACCATTTACATTGTTATTCCTATGAGTAGTTGTAGGGACCCCAGTACACTGCTTTGCCCATAATGCTGTTAAGACGGCCCTGCTCCGGATGCACCTAACACCCTGAAATCACCCCCAAACCAGGGGTGAAATCCAGCAGTTCTGACACAGGTTCTGGAGAACCGGTAGCGGAAATTTTGAGCAATTCGGAGAACGGTAGTGGAAATTTTGAGTACTTTGGAGAACCAGCAAATACCATCTCTGGCTGGTCCCAGAGTTGGGTGGGAATGCAGATTTTGTAATATCCTTCCCCTGGAGTAGGGTGGGAATGGAGATTTTGCAGTACCCTTCCCCTGGAGTAGGGTGGGAATGAAGATTTTGCAGTACCCTTCCCCTGGAGTAGGGTGGGAATGGAAATTTTGCAGTATCCTTTCCCTGGAGTAGGATGGGAATGGAAATTTTGCAGTATCCTTCCCCTGGAGTAGGGTGGGAATGGAGATTTTGCAGCATCCTTCCCCTGGAGTAGGGTGGGAATGGAGATTTTGCAGTACCCTTCCCCTGGAGTAGGGTGGGAATGGAAATTTTGCAGTAACCTTCCCCTGGAGTAGGGTGGGAATGGAAATTTTGCAGTATCCTTCCCCTGGAGTAAGGTGGGAATGGAGATTTTGCAGTAACCTTCCCCTGGAGTCGGGTGGGAATGGAGATTTTGCAGTATCCTTCCCCTGGAGTAGGGTGGGAATGGAGATTTTGCAGTATCCTTCCCCTGGAGTAAGGTGGGAATGGAGATTTTGCAGTATCCTTCCCCTGGAGTAGGGTGGGAATGGAGATTTTGCAGTAACCTTCCCCTGCCATGTCCACCAAGCCAGTAGTAAAAAAAAAAAAATTGGATTTCACCACTGCCCCCAAACCCTCCAGGCTGGCAGGCTGGAGCGAGGCACGTGCTAGAACTCCCGACCCCGGCTTGCGCCTGCCTTGCTTTGCCAACCCACCAGCAGCTGAAAACCCCGCAAAGTGCAAGGAGGGGAGAGAAGGAGGAGGAAAATTCCCCAGCGGACCCTTCCCCTCCCTCGGTGGAGGTGAAGCGCTGGAGCCTGCAGGGGCGCCGGTGAGCCTGTAGAGGGCGCTCGGGCGACACCTGGCTGTCCCAAGCTGATCCTATAAGAACCCTACGAGGGAACCGCCGGCCCCTTAGGAGGAGGAGGAGGAGGAGGAGTAGGGAGGGGGGTGGCTAAGACTATAGGTTTAGGACTAGCGTTGCGCTGGGCGAGAAGCAGCGGAGAAGCTCTATCCTCCGCGTTGCCGGCGGCATCTCCACGACACCCCCCCCCTCCTCTCCTCCCGCGAGTAACTTCGGAGTAGTCCAGAGGCAGCTTCGAGATTTCGGCGGAGTAAGTGTTACTCTCTCGTTGTCTTTGCCGGGAGGGTTGGAAGGAACTTTGGGGTCCGGGCTCGGCGTCCAGAGCGGCTTTTTTTTTTTTTTTTACTCCTTGGAGTAAGGTGGGGACCACTTTACGGATTGAATTTCCAACTTTCTTTTTTTAAAGAAAGCGAGAGAAACGTTCTCCTTTCTTCTCCGCTCTCCGCGTTTTGTCTTTTTTTTGACTTTGGATAAGGAAAGAGTAACGGCGATGTATGTTACAAGGGGTCGGGGGGGGGTCTTCTCTTTTTTGGCTGTCCGAAGGGACGAAATTCGGGCTCTGCGCTCGTTCTTCTCGCCCGATAGTAAGTCTTGGTCGTCGGAACACGATGGGAACAAACTTTTGAAGTTGGTTCAAAAGTTTGGGGGGGGAAACTTCGCTTTTCCGTCTTTGCTTTCAGGAGCACCTGAAATTTGTATTTTTTTGCACCTGGTTTCTGATATTTTTGCACCTGGTTTTAATTGCCAGGTTTGTTTTTTTGGGGGGGGGTAGGGAAGAAGGTTGTCTGTCAATCTCGTCTTGTTTCTTGACCGCTTCTAAGGCTTCTATTTAGACTCGCATTTTACTAGGGAGTTTTTTCCCCCCTTTCTTTTAAAAGACATTGTGTATCCATCGTTTTAGGGAACTGCTTGCGAATCTGTTTGTGAATGACGCTTAGACAAACAAAAGTGTTCTTGAAATGTCAAACAAATGCCAATTGATACTTTTAACGGTAACGGAGTTGGAAGGGACCTCGGAGGTAATCTAGTCCAACCCCCTGCTCACACAGAAGACCTCTACTAGGGATTCGAACCACTGAAGTTGCCAATTTTTCTTAAAAATCCTTAAAAGACGTTTGTTTCATCAAGCTGGGCTGACCTGACCTGACCATATTTTTAAATTGTTTTCATTTTAAATTGCTAATTTATGGGGTTTTAATATGGGGGTGGTTTAACTGTGGGCCAAATAAATTTAATTGGTTTTTAATATTGTTTTAATTTTTGTGTTTTCTGTATTTTATCTGCTGGCTGTTCACCGCCCCGAGTCCTTCGGGAGAAGGGCGGTATACAAAATTAATTAATTAAATAATAATAATAATAATAATAATAATAATAATAATAATAATAATAATAATAATAATAATAATAATAATAATTTGAATTTTTTTTTTAAACAAAACATAAAAACATCCATCATCTATTCCAATTGCAAGTAGTGTGTCGGTCAGTTACAAATCTTTTGTGCTTCATCTCCTATCTATCATTTACTAATTCTCTTAATTTCTCATATGATCAATCTAATATATATCTTTATATCATTATTCTCATTTGGTCATTCCTTTAACAAGGAAGGTCTGCTGGGCCTGGTGGCTCAGCAGACTGATAGCATTGTGATTAACACCAGCTGTCTGCAATTACTGTAAGTTCAAATCTCACCAGGCTCAAGGTTGACTCAGCCTTCCATCCTTTCTAAGGTAGGTAAAATGAGGACCCAGTTTGTGGGGGCAATAAGCTGACTTTGTATAAATATACAAAAGTATGAAGGCTATTGCTTAGCGCATTGTAAGCCGCCCTGAGTCTCCGGAGAAGGGCGGCATAGAAATCAAATTAAAAACAAAACAAAACAATGGCATTTTCATCCCATTAAAATCATTTCCATATATTGTATTTTTTTTTTTTAATTTGATTTATATGCCGCCCTTCTCCGGAGACTCAGGGCGGCTTACAATGTGCTCAGCAATAGCCTTCATCCTTTTGTATATATTTATACAAAGTCAGCTTATTGCCCCCACAAACTGGGTCCTCAATTTACCTACCTTAGAAAGGATGGAAGGCTGAGTCAACCTTGAGCCTTGGCGAGATTCGAACCTGCAGTAATTGCAGGCAGCTGGTCTTGATAACCAGCTTAATAACAGGGTGCCTTAGACCACTGTACTACCAAGGATGGTAGAGGACAGGAAGGCCTGGAGAAACGTGGTCCGTGGGGGTTGCGATGGGTCGGACACAACTTCGCAACGAACAACAATCGTCTTGCAAGACTCCCTTGCATTTCTTCAGCAAGAGGCTAGACCATAAGAAGTGGCCATTTTGGACGAGAACTGGCTCCAGAAATCTAGGGAAGATAGGTTTCCTTCTACCTTGAGTGTTTTTGTTGTGCCTAAGTCTACTTTGGAGTATAGGCAGAGTGCACCTACTCTGGGCCTAATGATAATGTAACAAGAGCCTGCCTCACCAAACAAAAACCTTACTTTGGAAATAAGTACAGGTTCTTGTGGAAGACAACAGGCTATTAAGGTCCAGTTACCTTTAATTTCCAGACTCTGACCCCCACAGTTTGACCATCATAGGCTGATCTTTATGCTGCGGAGTAATGACAGGAGTCTGGAGCTTGACAGGATGGGCATCGCGGCAAAGGGCTACAGCCACGAAGCGGTTGGGAAGGATGGCATTTGGGGTGCCGCCAGCTCCCTTCGAGGGGTGGGGAGGCTGGTGATTCTCCTGCATGTGCCTTGCTTCATACGCGCCCAGGGAGTGTTCCTGGCAGCCTTCGGAGCTTGCCAGCTTTTTCCACAGTCAGAAAAAGTATGAGGCACGTTTGCTTGCGTGCTTCAGAAGTTCAGGGCTGGTTAAAGATAAGGGTGTAAACTTTCCTTTGCCAATTGGGCAAAAACAGATTCAGCCCGGCTGATGCCTCCAGGAAGCTCCCGTTTTTGGACACACATTCTCTCTCTCTCTCTTTTTTTTTTTTAATTGAATTTGTATACCGCCCTACTCCCGAAGGACTCAGGGCGGTGAACAGCCATAGAATAAAACATATAAATACAAAATTTAAAATAGAATAAAAACGAATTAAATAATTTGGCTGAACAAATTTAAAACCCCAATAATTTAAAACCAAATTTAAATTTTCCATTTAAAAAGGGGAAAGACTTAGATCAGGCCAGCTTGATGAAATAAAAAAGTCTTGAGCGCGCGACGGAAGGTATGCAGATCCGGGATCCTCCGTATCTCCGGGGGGAGCTCGTTCCAGATCGTAGGTGCCCCCACAGAGAAGGCTCTCCCCCTGGGGGCCGCCAGTCGACATTGTTTGGCCGACGGCACCCGGAGGAGCCCCTCTCTATGGGAGCATACTGGTCGTACTTTTTCTTGTTGCTTTTCTTGTTTAGGTCCTGGGTATGTACTCTAAGGTTCCACTTTAGGGTGGAACTCTGCTTTGACAAACGTTGATTTTTTTCCCCACCGTGTTGCAAAGACTGGCTTGTATAGTGCTTTCATGTTATGTCATGTTCAGATGAAGCCCCCTCCTTCAGCCCCAAAGTTGACCTTTGTGATCCTGGTTTCTCTTCCAGATTTGATTTAAATCAAGTCGATTTCAATCATGATTTCAATCACGAGTGGAAAGGCTCGATTTAAATCAACTCCGTTTAAATCGTAATTTTTAAAGAGCAGCTGTCATCTCTGTCCCGCAGCAGCTCTTCCTCTGACCTGCTGTTGACTCACCGAAAGTCCCAATATTGCAGAATATACAGCCTCATGCTACAGAACTAAACTCCATTTCATGCTGAATAAACTAAATTATTAATATATCTTAAATAGCAATAGCACTTAGACTTAACAGTATGAAGAATGGTTGCAGGAACCAGGCATGGCTAGTCTAGTGAAGAGAAGGACCAGGGGAGACATGATAGCAGTCTTCCAATATTTGAGGGGCTGCCACAGAGAAGAGGGGGTCAACCTATTTTCCAAAGCCACCAAAGGCCAGATGGAAACTGAACAAGGAGAGATTCAACCTGGAAATAAGGAGGAATTTTCTGACAGTGAGAACCATCAACCCATGGAACAGAAGTTGCCTTCAGAAGTTGTGGGAGCTTCATCATTGGAAGCTTTCAAGAAGAGACTGGACTGCCATCGGTCAGAAATGGTGTAGGGTCTCCTGCTTGGGTGGAGGAGGGTTGGACTAGATGACCTACAAGGTCCCTTCCAACTCTGTTAATCTGAATCTATCTAACATGATCAAAGGCCCGGAGACTACAACGTATGATGAATGGTTGCAGGAACTGGGCATGGCTAGTCTAGTGAAGAGAAGGACCGGGGGAGACATCATAGCAGTTTTCCAATGTTTGAGGGGCTGCCACAGAGAGGAGGGGGTAAAGCTGATTTTTTAAAAATTTAAATCAGATTTTTTTTTATTTTTATTAAATTTGTTTTAATAAAATGCTATAGAAAGATAGTTTTCTATATTAGTTTTCTAGGAGTTGCGGTGGTGCAGTGGTTAGAATGCAGTACTGCAGGCTACTTCGGTTGACTACCGGCTGCCTGCAATTTGGCAGTTCGAATCTCACCCGGCTCAAGGTTGACTCGGCCTTCCATCCTTCCGAAGATGGGTAAAATGAGGACCCAGATTGTTGGGGGCAATAGGCTGACTCTGTAAACTGCTTAGAAAGGGCTGTAAAGCACTGTAAAGCAGTATATAAGTCTAAGTACTATTGCTATTTTCCTTCCTTCCTTCCTTCCTTCCTTCCTTCCTTCCTTCCTTCCTTCCTTCCTTCCTTCCTTCCTTCCTTCCTTCCTTCCTTCCTTCCTTTTCTTCCCTCCCTCCCTTAATTCCCTTTCTCATGTTTCTTCCTGGTGGTGCAGTGGTTAGAATGCAATATTGCAGGCTAACTCTGCCCACTGCCAGCAGTTCGATCCTGACCGGCTCAAGGTTGACTCAGCGTTCCATCTTCCCGAGGTGGGTAAAATGAGGACCCAGATTGTTGGGGGCAAGAGGCTGACTCTGTAAACTGTTTAGAAAGGGCTGTAAAGCACTGTAAAGCAGTATATAAGTCTAAGTACTATTGCTATTTTCCTTCCTTCCTTCCTTTTCCTCCCTCCCTTCCTTTTCCTCCCTCCCTCCCTTAATTCCCTTTCTCATGTTTCTTCCTGGTGGTGCAGTGGTTAGAATGCAGTATTGCAGGCTAACTCTGCCCACTGCCAGCAGTTCGATCCTGA